CAAAATAATTATGAAAACTGTTGCACTTTGTCATTCTGCACTTTATGAAGGCAACTGGCACTTTTCATCTGCACTTTTACTATATATTGCATGTTTATTGTCTATGTTTTGTATTTTAATTAACTCTGCTATGTATTTTTGATTGTATAAGGACTACAGATGGAAATTAGCATTGTGCTAAATCTGGGGCAGCCTTCTTTTTAATGTACCTATCCGTTGTCCTTTCAAATAAATAACTAAACTAAACTAAACTAAGACACTGGTAACGCGCCATGTAACTGTGATTGTAGAAACTTTTGATAGAGCACAAAAGGCAAAATATTTAAATGTTAAAAATAAAAAGCTTACTCCTATACGCAGTCATGCAAAACTCCTTAGTCAAAGAAGCATTGAGAATTTAAACTTACAAACATGAAAAGCCGCTAACCATAATCTGTGTGATCTGAGGCTGACGTCATGACCCCCACCCCTCTCCCCCTCTGACATGGAGTGGTCGTGCTGATAGAGCTGTACCCTGAGGGCTCGTCTTCCATTGCACACCCACCCATTCAATGTGTCCATGTATTTTTGTGATGACAGGGACAGGTGCAGCGCTAGAGCCACGCTAATCCACTGTATATCAGTAGAATGTATCATGCTGTTATGGATGTTGATGTAGACACGACAATCAATGCACAATGTTTAATGTCTGTTTAATAATAATGCATGATGTACAGATTCTCCCTCACTGCAGAAAGGGATGAAAACGAGTCAAAAATGTATAATAATATGAGCATATTTTCACAGCCTAAAAACAAGATTTGCCAATGGTACAAGCAAAATTATTCTTTATTTCAAAATTATACAAGAAATGTCTCCCTTGGACTGAGAAAATAAAGACACTTTTTTGTTGTTGAATAAGACCAAAAGGCTTTGTCCCATTGGTAAATCTTGTTTTAAAGCAGTCAATCTACTGCTGTACAGAAAGTAATAAAATAAAAACACTTGATTCAAGCATTTATTACCTCATACTTGACCATATTTTACATTGTTGTATGTTGTTTTGGTTTGCTGTAAAGTTCTCCATTGTGAGATCAACACATTCTATAAACGTGCTTTCCTAAAATCTCATTAGAACAAATAGGACGCAATTGCTTGTAATCGCTCTGGATCTAATTACTAATATATGTTGGATGACTGCACCGAGTTTATTGAATCTATTCAATTGTGGCTTCAATTGTCCCAGTGAGTTCTCTCATGAGCTGCCCAAAGCTGTGAATAGAGCCATTATCAGCTGACTGTGAGGTGAGAGGTTTGACCTGGGTTGAGGTTAAGTGAAGACAGAAAAAGGAAATTTCAAAACATCCAAACTATGTAGTATTTTATTTGAAGTAAAATACTATATTATATTCATATATTTCCAACAATCTAACTCTGCTTTCAAGTCCAATCTTCTCATTATTTTTGGATAAACTTAACTCCTTCATATCTTAGCTATAGGTAAAAGATGCATTGATCACTTTTACAATCAATATACATCGTCATGCATCAAGTGTCAGAGATCAATTACATATAAAAGTCAGAAACATGTTGTGGAGACTCACTCATTAGAGCAACAAAACTACCAGTATCGTAACTCCATAAGGGAATTTCAGTCAAAGCTTTAACACCTGAAATCAAATCAAAACAATATATTTCATAAGAAAATTGGAAAATCCAATCCTAGCCCACTCCCTGTTATTCTGTCATTGGAAAAGTCAAGATGAACATCATAACTTGTAACCAGTTCTATTAATCTGTTTACCTTGAAATAAATGATACATTTCTTTACATTTATATCTGTTTTTCTATTTTAATGTGTCCTTTGTTTTATAAAGAACTTTGAGTTGTGATCTACTTGCCACGTAAATATTCACAGGAATAAACAGACGGACAATGTCCCGATGCATTCCCCGTACTTAAACCTCCTCCTTTCACACTGAAATCTCTGTAAAAACCCAGTGCGGAAAAAAAACAAACTCAACCACAGTGACGGAGAGAACCACTCCTGGATGGACAGCTGACTAGTCCACTTAAAACCCGGTAAAGATGGTCCCTAATGAATGATAACCTACTGGTTGAATGAAGCCTGTTTGTTCATTATGAGACAAAATGTTACACAAATCAGATTTTTGTTATATTGCCACGTGACTAACAAGAACTACATTTCTCCATTGTGAGATCTTATCTTACAAACTAGGAAATTGCTTAATAAATAATACATCATAATAACAACACATTTTACAGCTAAAACAGTTAAAAGCAATAACAGTTAAAATGGACAGTGAAATGTAATGTCACAGTGAGTAGGCCAGTCTGAAGAGGTGTGTTTTAAGTGCGGTTTGGAAGTGCAGGAGTGTGTCAGTGTCACAGAGGTTAGGGCGAAGTATATAGTATCATTGTTTGTATCATATGTTGGTGTTTTACAAGTATATAGCTGATGCCTTGCTTTATCATTTCTGCAGCCCCTTGTTGCCTCTCGAGAGCACATTCTCAAAGGTTTGTGAAATACTGTGGTTGTTGGCAGTGCTCCTCCTGCCCCTGCACTGTGGGTGATACTACACCTTTGCGTCATCCCTCTTTCATCTGTAAGGAGTTTACTCAGAGGTTTATTACCAGACGTCAGTGCTCAGCAGCCAATCCTTTGTACTTCTGTCCCGTACAGAACACACTCATCAGAAGCCAGTGCACTGCAAACTCTAAAAGGAAAAGCCCTTTTGTATTGGGTATTTACCAGACTGTTAAACCCTGTCCATGTGCTACTCTAACGGAAGAGGGGAGTTCATGAAAAGCCCTTTAAATAATGCAGAGACATGGAACAGTGCAATTTGTCCATACACGGTGTTAGCACAGGCTCATAACTTACACAGTCCCATGAAGGGTGAGAGCTTTGTCTGTGGCTGTGAACCTTTGATATATGCATAATATTCATTCTGCTGAAAGTAGCTTAAATCATTTGGATAGATGCTGTGCTAAAGCAGAGGCACATGTCCAAAAGGAGCAGAAGTCAATGAACACCCAGTTCAACATGTGAGATGTACAGTGTGAGTAGTAGCAGTAGTGTTGATTTGTTTTGGTAATGAACAATTAATAAAACCACGTCATACTGTGATATAAAATATGAAAACACATGCTGCAGTTTTTATTTTTTACTCTTTTGTATGTCAATTTTCTCCTTTTTTTTAATTATATTTTTTAAACTTTAATGGCTATTTTGTAAATGATGTCATGCATGTGTTCAAGCGCTATATTGAGGGGATGACAACAATCGCATTTCTTTGCCAATGAACGACATAGATAGATAGATAGATACTGTAGTTAGAAATTCAGGTGTCCAGTAGCAGCAATAATAAAATTGATCATTCTAAAAAGCTAATAACAGTATTGATCAGCCACAGGCCTTCAGGTCACAGCAGCAAAGACGGAGTGGTCTTTGGGTGGAGACGGACGGGTCACAGCAGCAGAGGTGGAGAAGCCGCTTGTTTTGGACCATTTCCTCTGCTCTTGTCCAAAGTAAAATGCTAAATGCTTCATTAGTATTTTTCAAAAAGTTAGCATTCCTCCAGTGGCTTTTTCACCTGGTTTGGACCATGAATCCTCTGCTCTGATCTGGACCAGTGTAAAACTATGCACACTGTACTGCAGCAACATCTCAGGTAGAAAAATGCAAGAAAAAGAAAAATTATAAAGTACAAAACAACTGTTTCAGACTTAGGACTTGCAGCTGTTTTCTACCGCATTCAAACGTAAACCCAGTATATAATAATACCCTTAAGATAATAATAATGCCCAGTACCCTTCATCATATGCGCTATTTTTTTCTCTAATTTATTTTTTCCCCCCCAAAGTATGGCTCGTTGGTGTTGTGTACAAATCTGTTCTAGAAAAACAGGACTCTCTGATATTAATTGGTGCATCGGATATATGGGGAGATGGGTATATGCTTTTTCAATCCTGTGAAGCCCTTTGGACCTTGCAATTTTAATGTGAAAATTATAGTAATCTGCTATGTATATGTACATTGTGCATTTTTGATGTGTTTATATTACTGGTATCTTACCTTTTCTGTGATAATGGCGTTAGCAGATCCTTCTAGTTGAAATGAACATAAATCTTGTGCCCAACCATTAGTAAAAAGTCCATGAGCCTCCAGGGATTTGTAATTTCTGAACTCTTTGAATGTATGTGCACACACTCCATTCAGAAGATAACAAACAACATCCATCTTCTTCCGCTTATTCTAGTTCTGGGTCGGGGTGGTGGTAGTTAGAGCTGCACCCAATCCACATAGCACCTGGCCCTCACTGATCCTCCTGCAGGTGGTGAGTCCACAGGAGGAAATGCACAAGAGTCATTAGACACAAAATGAAAAACGTGCATTATTAATTTATTTGATAAGGACAGGATATCTGTACACCTCTCCACGATGTAAATAATCCAGATTGTAGCAGAAAGACCTAATGTCTATCTGTAAGCAAGACATACATACTATATCATAAATGAACACATACACCTTTTGTATTACTATATATATATATTTTTTTGCATTATTTTTTGTTCATAAATTTAAACAATTACAGCCTTTGGCAGTTTGCTAAATTTAACTACTTAAATTATGAGATTTTGATTGAACTGTGAATCGTCAATAGTTGTTGTTTTTCCTTTTTTGGATCTTGGTGGCATTGCATCTGTTTTAAGGTGGAATTCACTCATTCTTTAGTTTAACCAAACCTGGGGATACCCTTAACACATCGCCACCAAAACTCTATATCTGCCGCCCTCTTGTGGCCAAACTAGGCCACCGCACATCGACGCAGGATCCAGTCCAGGTTTTGTGGACTTACTGACTACTCGCGGTTCTGTGGAGAAACCCAGACCGTATTTTCGGCTTGTCTGCGTGCGTCCGGCGGCTTTGTTGTCAGGCAGAAAGCGCACACGCACACCGATTCATCTCGCTGTAGTTACTTGGAGCCTTGGGGAAGATGTCTGCTGGGCTAGAGTCCGGCTTTTCGAGCGAGGAAGTGCTCACGGCCCGCTTCCCTCTGCACCGTGCCTGCCGGGATGGAGACATGGGCGCCTTGTTGTCCCTGCTTCAGTGTACGGCATCCCCGGCGGAGCTCGCCGTGGAGGACTCCTTCTACGGCTGGACGCCCCTTCACTGGGCTGCGCACTTCGGAAAGGTGCACGTTTACTTTGACTTCTCTCGCTTAGTATTGATGTGTGTGTGTTTGCGTGTTCTGTGGTTTGTGTGTGTTCTTGCGCGCGCGACTGATTTATTGCTGCGAAGACATCATGGCGTCCATTTCCTGATCTTTTGACTGGTCACAGAGGCGAGACGAGCGGCCATCGCCCTGGGAACTGAATGACTGTTTATATGCGTGCTCGGCAACAGCGCGCCGTGCTGTTCTGTATGAACACGTTTGTGGCGTTCAGTCAACCAGGGTGAATGCAGCCCAAAGGCATTGATAACGTGCAAAACTGTCAGAACGTGCGGAGTCTCCTGTCAAGTCACTGAACACGAGTAGCTAGTCGATTCCACGGCTTTTCGTTTTGGAAGTTTACTTACTTTATGTACGTTTTTTGGTTCTGATAACTTTTTATGACCTTTTCTGTTTTTTTTTTGTTTTCGTTTTTTATATCATTGCAATTATATTTATGATATTATCTTAATCCCAGACTGGTCCTAGAATATATACAGTCTATGGTTCAGAGCATGTATCTGTTAAGAGCCATCTCATTTTGGAGCGCTAGTTACCATAGCAACACTGTTTACTTGCAGCAGTTAGTAATTGGTATTGTTGTATTTCAGTTATATTAACCAGTTTTAGCATGTTTTAAAGATAAAAAAAACCCCGCAAAAACTAAAACATTTTTTTTTAGACAGGATACGTCTCAAACAATATCCTGTTTGCTAATCTTGCATAGTGTTAATGCTTACTTTACTATTACTACTATTTGTTACGTAATTATTGTTTTAACTCTTTAGGCTCCAGCGTTTTCAGAAATGTGCAACTTTTTAAAATATATAAAGGACGACTAAAACGTATTACTATATTTATCATTATCTTTATCTAAGTAAGCCAGGTCGCTGCATAGAAATTGTTCTCTATTCAGGAGCTCATGTTAAGCCAATATTGCATTATTCTATACTATTTGTTAAGCTAATCTACTGTTCTTGTGAGCAGTTCGTAGGTTTCACACAGTAAAAAACACCACTTTCCCAACATCATAGAGCCTCTTGTTTGTGTAGACTGTGTGTGTCCATACCTGTTCTTCATGTTGTGTTGTTTGTGTGTTGACAGCTGGAGTGCGTCATGCGGCTGGTTCAAGTGGGCTGTAGTGTGAATGCAGTCACTTCCAGGTTTGCCCAGACCCCCACTCACATTGCTGCGTTTGGGGGACACCCTGAGTGCCTGTTGTGGCTTCTCAAAGCTGGTGCAGATTTAAACAGACAGGTACGATGCAATGCTAACTCACATGGTTTGAAATGGCAGCCATTGTCATTTGTGGGAGTGCCAGTAATAAGAGCATTAGTGAGGATTTGATCACACAAGGGTCATGAAATGTTAAGTATAGACTTGATCAATGTCTTCTTCAAAGGTGATGATATTGTAGTGTTGTCATCATGAAATATGAAATTCCTTTTTTAAGGAAACTCAAAAGACTATTTTATATTTCATGACCATGTTACTCTTGGTTCTGAATTCGGGTATATCTTGTGTGGATCTAAAGTTGTTTTTGTCACCTCAGGACTATGTGGGTGAATCGCCCATCCACAAGGCTGCTCGAGCGGGCAGTCTGGACTGCATCAATGCTCTCTTGATTCAGGGAGCTAAAGCTGAGTAAGTTTTGTGACCACACCCCCTCTTCCAACTTTGATTTTGTGATACTACAAATTGTGATGTATTTAAAATTTCACAAGGAATCACCAAGATACCCAAGATATGACTGTTTCAGTTTCTAAACCTGAATTAACTACAAAAAATAATAATAAAGGTTTACGTTATAACACGAGTTCTGAATGTAAAGTAGTTTCAGTACTCTTACTAAAGTAAGCAGTGACAGACCTGCATCCCCCACACTCCTCAGTTTTCCCACCTTGACTTTAAGGTCCCAGGAAAACCTAATTCTGACGACTGATACGGTAAAAAAGAGCTATAGTTTGTATAATCGTTGGTTCCTTATGATCTCCAGTGCAATGGTCTTCTGATTGCGAGCGCTGCATCCTCACTGACAGCAGCTTATTTACCAGATAATTATTTTATTTCTATTAGCACAATTTGATTTAGATGCATTATTATTATTATTATTATTATTATTATTGTAAACATGTTCATGGTGATTCCTTGATACTGATTCTTAGTAATACTAAATTGTTGCTGTTAGTAGAACAGTGCATATTAGGATGCCCTCTCTGTGTAATAAGATTCAGATTAAATTTTACTTTGAGCTCATGTTTTAAAACAAATAAATGAAATGGTATTAAATTTATCATAGCATTTTGAACTAAACTACTGATTACACAAATGAAAGGGCATCTTGATGCAACAGTTTAAATTCCATATTTTTCTTAGACCAATTTGCATGATGTGTTGAAAGTAGCATAGTTTTTATGTTAACTTTTGTTTTGGGTACTGTCTTACACATACTGAGATGGCCAAATGCACAAGTGTTAAAAATACAATCAAAATAAGTCATAAATACTTTACTTACACCTGATAATATTCAAATAGAAATGAAAATCTTAAAATGATCAAATAGAAATGAAAACCCTAAAGTTGTCCATAGCTCTATTAAAAAAGCACCAAAGATTTAAATATTTTTGTTCAAAAATAGAATGTATGTGTTTGAAAGCTGCAATGTAACAATTGACAGGGCCCTCAAAGCCGGGCCCCTGCTCCCTGTGGTGAACAGTTGACATTATAATGGACACAACACGTTATGAGTCAAAAACTATTCTACAAATGTCTTTAATAGCAGCTGTGTAAAGCTCCCAAACACAGACCATAATTTTACATTTTGCTCTAAATGCATTTTGCCTAATGAGAAAGTGGTTCATCACCTCCTGTTCTAAAGTTTATAAATCATACTTATATTTGATCAGAACCAGTGTTCAGTCTGTGAGGTGAGCATCTGCTGAGGCATCAACCTCCTCCAACTTGTCATTTATTGATTTTAGTTAGCTCATTTTTAATGGTGCCCTCTCCGGGTCATGTACAAATGACAAAATATTAATAATTACAACAATTTAGGGCTGTAACAATGAATGGATTAATCATAACTAATCAGGTCAACTATTTTTGATGATGGATTAAAGTCAAACAGAGCAGTATTTAAAAAAAAAAAAAAAAAAAAAAAGAAACTCTTAAATTATTTAAAATGTTTTTGTAAAACTTTTCTTTGAATGTAAAATGACGATGAATTGATTATCAAAATACAACAACCCTATACAAACAATAACAATATGATGCAATTCAAGGAAGTATTTGGCTTGAATAAAATTAATATTGAAAAGTCCTTGGAGTTTAAAACACATATTAACTCTCAGAAATATTGGATCATTCTATATTCTCCAAGTATATATGTGATGTATTTCTTGTACATTTGGTCATTTTCTGGTCTGTAATATTTAAAGTATATATTTTTTCCATTTACAGACTGGGTAGTTGAGTTCATGTAGCGTCACACAGCGAGAGCAGTTTACAGGGAGCGATGAGGCTCATGACAAAAGGAAATCATGGCTCGTTATTGTGGATGTCGCTGATGTTAAGGCCAAAAGTTGCAAGTCAGTTCTACGACAACAAGCACATGTATTCCAATATTAAAATCTACCTTTAGTCCCAATTAAATGCTTCTTCGATCCTTGACCTTGACCTATGACACCTCTTATGGAGACTTAATTTTGGTAATTGCACCAGTTAATCACATCGAGATTCCATCACGTTACAGCAATTACCGGTTTACACTTTTGGGAGCATTCGGTCATCAAGTATCTGAATATTTGACCAAGAAGAAACCTTGGACCCAAATCTTGGATGGCATCAATCTTTCCCCTGTGAAAACTCTGCTCCAGCTTCTTTATGAGCCAGAAGATTCTTATCACCCTTTACAAACGTCGGCTGTACAGTCACACCCTCTTTCCTTGTCCTAAATCTGGATCGTTATCTGATGGACGTCACATCAAGCCTGGCCGTCTGTCTGAAGCTACGGCAACATGACTCCAGGATCTTTTGGTTTTCTTACTCCTTTTTTCTACAAAAATATACTCTTAAATTACATTGCAATAAGATTAAGAGATTCTTTATTTGTTCCACAGTGGGGAAATGTCAGTGTTGTATTGCAAGTTACTGAACAATAGGAATGAGGACTGGCTTGAGACCAGTCTTCAGGTCCAGGAAGCCCAGGGTTTCCAGTACCATCTGTACGTTCATCGGGCAGAATGAAGGAACAACTGGTGAACGGCAATGCACAGACTACATTTAAAACATCAGTTCAAACTGGCGGTGAAGAAGAGTTCTATTCCTCTTGCAACTGTGGATGTAGCGATTAAAAAAGAAGATATTAAGTATAGCGCAACTACTTGAATTATATTTGTATTAATAAATTGAATGATCAAATTATTCCTAAAATACTTTCGAGGTAAAGGGGGCAGGATGAACTGAGGGTACACGATTGTTCTGTTTGTCATGAGCCTCAATGGTAAGCCTTGTGGTCAGAACAGCTGCAGCTCAGTCACTGAAAGAAGAGAAGGGCAAAGCAGCTTTAGCTGTGTAAATGAACTGTTGACTGTCATGCTAACACTCATGTTCTGTTATTTCACTGAAGATATCTGCAGAGATGTTTCTGTTTGTCTCAGCATTAACCTGATACAATAGTCTTGTTTGACCTATATTCTTTGTCACCTTTTCTTTTATGAAAGTGACGATAAGTTACACCAAACGTTTTGATACTGTTAACGGAACCAGAACCGTACGTCTTAATGTTTTTCAGCTATTGAATTGGAAATGACTTGGTTTTTTCAAGTAATCCTAGAAAGGGGGAGAATAGACACTGCTGAGTCTGCCCCGTTCCCTGGGAAAGCCGCACTGTTGTGGCATTGAGTGTTCTCACTATCGCTTCCTATCTACACACTGGCAAACTGTTGAGGTATTTCTTGCGGTGATTGGTTTTAATGCTAGGTTTTAATTGAATCACAACTAAAGAAATATACCTGCATGCTTTGCTTATTTAAAATGTTTATACATTTAGTTTTTGTTTTATTTGTATATATTTTGTTTCTGGTCTTGTCAACTAACCATAGGAGCCCTTTAAATGGACAGGTTTAATCACGTGAGTTCCATGTCAAGTAGCATGTTGTAGGTTGCCTCTTGAAAGTTACACAGAAGAAACAAACTGAGCTTAGTACAGGAAAAGCAAAGCATACCAGGCATTTATGAAGGATTAACGCTTCCTTTATATTTATTGGGCCTTTCATATTTGTTTAAATGATGAATGTCTCGCTAAAGGAATGACTGAAGCAAAAGTGTGCAATAGTTAGTTACATTTACTGTAGATTAAAATGGCTGTGTAGATCTCGACGCAGGACATGTGTCCGCATTCTAGAACCCATTATTATGGTTCGAGGGAAAGTCATTTTTGTGTCAAATCCTGAAAACAATGTTTTCAAATCCAACAGCAGTTAGACCCGCCCACACTCACCCCCTGCTTCCTGAAGAAATTAATTGAAAATTAATTTAAATCTACAGCTGGTGGTTATGCAGAGAAGAGGGACTATATAAAAATATTATTTGATTAAATGTACTATATTGAATTAAAGTACAGGGTATGTATGATATAAGTTACATGCACCAAAAAGAGAAAATAAAGCAGTCAGTCATTGTTTTAATGGTATTTTTGAGTATTGTTGCCAAAGTGTGATAAATGTGAAATAAAACTGTGCTTTAATTCCTTTTATCCAGGAGGCGCAGTCAAAGCCAGCCATGTACATTAACCTAAATATATTCACTAATGCAGCCCATTTGACTTGTTATTCGTCAATTCCTTAGTGAGACCATTTTATAATTTTGTAAATTTTTGATAAAACTGGGAAGCGTTAATTTGAAAGGTACAATGTGTAATAAGTGTGATTATTACTTTTATGATTTTTATATCATTTGTTTATGAAATGTTCATTGTGCACTAGTTCTGGAAATGTTTTATCCCTCACAAGTTTAGCACAAATGCAGGTGATCACCTTTTACACAATGATTGTTCAAACAGAAGTTCATGATGGTACACGTTTCTGTAAACCCTATATCTGATATAAATAAAGATAACTTACTTACTTACTTTCCAAAACTTTAGTTCCTATTCATTTACAATAATGGCAGTTTTGTTCTGTATGGAATAAATAGTGCTACTGTCTTATACCAATAAGTGATAAAATCAGAACCAACATACACAAGTCTGGGGATGATTTGACCCCTTTTTTAGTCGTCATGCACACAAAAACACCCCTGCAGGAAACGCACAGGCCTAAACGACCGAAAGGGTCCAGTCTGGGACATTAGATAAATGTGGTTTGTCACCTCTGTATAGAAACAGACGGTACCGTCATGTGTCTGATTACACATTCTGTTTTTGCATTCATTCTGTCACTTCCAACCACAGAAGCTGCTGCTCATTGACATGGTTAACACAACTGTGTCTTTTCAATACCAGAAACTATCAAGTAGTTACTACTCAAGTACTATGACTTATTATTTTTCAAACTTCTTACTTATTCCTTGACAAGTTAAACTTTCTTTTACTTTTGCTTTTATAAGAAGACTTGTGGATTTCTTGAGCTTGAAGATATTTATTTTTTGTGGAGCATCAGTCAGAAACTGCCACCTCCTTCTCTATCTTATTTTTTTCTTATCTATTTTCTTCTTTTGGAATTATTTTATTTTTCCCCGACATTATTCATAACCACATCATATGAAGTAAGTTCACATGTGCAGTTTTCAGCTGCCCCCTTTGATTCATGGCTTGAAGACAAAGACATTTTTTTCTTTTTTTCCACTCTGCTTCTACATTCTAGATTCTCTTATTTTATTACTTTTTGCACTGTTATACCAAAGTTGGATTAACCATGTCACGTGGCAGCAGTCATGTCTCCTGTTTGGGAACGTTTATTTCAAATTTAATGATCCAAAGGATCAGATGTCATTTTCCTAAGATGACGGAAAGGATATCAGAATAGTTCAGGACAGATTGTCTGTACACTGTATGTATATGTGTGTGTGTGTGTCTCTGTGAGTGCCTGGCTTTTGTCTGCGAGATACCGCCGGTGTGTTTTGGTGACACTTGCTCTTTCTGTACAGTTTGAGGAATGCCAGTGGGCTGACTGCTGCTGACCTGGCCCACGCCCAGGGATTCCAGGAGTGTGCAGAGATTCTGTCCAATGCCCAGAACTTCCAACAAAACCTGGCCCTGTCCCAAAACGGGCCTTTAGTGAACAGCGTGGGCTGCACAGCTCAGAATGGGGACCACTATTCCCTCTCTGTCCAGGGACGCAGATTCTTAAATGGCACTCCAAACAGAAAGAGATCGTTTGAAGGCATTGAACTAAATGCAGTGAAGAAAGCGAGACACAATGGTAGGTCATTTAATTAACTCACCAGAAATGATTGCTGCAAATGCTTTTAACCTGTATTAATGCATTTTTTAGGTTTGGACATGGCACCTACTCATCTCAATGGTAATGGGCTACTAGGAGATATCCAGATGGAAAGCACAAATATGGAGGTGTCCATTCCTGCAAGCTCAGGTGGGACAGGACCCTTTCATTTATCGTTAAATGGGGATGCAGCCCCCAAACCAGAGTCTGATAATCAGTGTGAAGACTCTGTTGGACATGAGCGTGCAGGCCATGCAGCCAAAGAGCTGGAGGTCATCACTGTAGCATCAATGCAGACTCACTGCCACTACACCAACTCTTATGCTTACTTATAGAGGGCGTTGTTCTTGTGTGCCCATGCATACAGTAACATGTTTGTATTGGCTGGTGGTTTATATGATACTTTATTTGTATAGCATATTTCATACGAATACCTGCAACTCAGTGCTAAACAATGATTGAATGTCAAATAGAATTTTAATAAATGAGTCATTCCTTGTGTTGGAGCACACCTGGTGTCATGAGGCAGACTATTTACAGGGGGCATAAAGAGAGAAGGCAGACTTACCACTGGCCAGTTATTACTGGGGAACAGTGAGAAGATCTGAGGTTCATAATGCACAAGGAATCAGGTGCCAGAGAAGGAAGGCTCTATAGACCGGCACATATACATTTGGCAAGTTTAAGTGTGCACTTGATTCAAGAATGTATACCTAAATCTGATCCTTAGTACTGTGTTGCATACTTTTCGGATAAGAATAGTTCAACTGAAAGCCTGAATACATTCTACTGTCATGTTTCCATTTTAATTGCAATATTCAAACACATTCAGTGGAGGAGCTGTCTAAACTGTCATTGCGTCCATTTTTTATTACCAAAACATTACAAATACATTGACTATTATATGCAATTTTGAGACTCATTACATTGTTTATTTAGTAAGTTAAAAAGAGATTATTTTCTGTTTCAAACTTTTGTCTAAGCTTGAGTGTGTAGCAGTTACTTTTGTACTTTCAAATACTTAAGGCTTGCCATGAATGTCTATACATTTGAACAAACCTTGCATCACTTTTTAGCTATTGTTTTATAAACTGACTTCTGACGCTGTTCTGTGTAGGTGGCATTTACTGATGTTTTTTTGTAAAGGTATTGGGCATTTATTATTATGCTTTTTCTAGCGCTTTACAACGAGAATATAATATGAATATGATAATTAAACACTAAACATTCAGACTTATGGTTGTGTTTTTTTTCTTACACACTTGTTTAGTTTGGACTAAATGTTTGAAAGTTTCTGTGGTCCCTAATATACAAGCTGCCATAATTCTTTTTAAAAAGGTCACGGTGTCAAAGAACTTCCAAATAAGGAAGTGACCCATTTTCAATAAGGTCTTGCACTCGCTGCACTAGAATTGAACAGTAGTGTAACGACATGCAGTATGTAGTCTGACCTGGTTTTTCAGTTCAAAGACTATCATAGTTGCCTCACCCTCATACTACATGCAATCATTACTTTTTATTGTTACTGGAATGAAAATCTGAATAATATTCATAATCTGTTGTTTGCAGTGACAGATGAAATGCTCTTAACAACAAATGGTCACAGCCTACCTCAGCTTTCACTTGAGTGTCACCCAGGAGCAGAAATCATACATGTTCACAGTGATTTTCTTGAGATCCACGCCACTGCAGGCAGCCAGGTGGAGCACCAGAAGTCAGTGACGGCAGAGCAACTGTATGACCATGCCTTTTACAGTACCATGCTTCTTTATCATGGGTCTTAAAGACACCATGTTATTGTAATCCAGTATTGTATTGCTGTACCGTTCGGCATTGACCCTCACTGAAATAATTTAAACAGTGTTATCCAGTTGGGGGAAAAAAACAAGTCAAATAGATCAGTTTAAATTTTGACACTAAACCAGAAATGAATAGCTTGTTTTGTCTTATTTTTTTTTTTTTTTTTTTTTACATATTTTTTAATTTATTTTTCAGTTTCGCAATTGTCAATTTATTAAATAAAAATTAAAAAAAAGATGTGTTTGTGTTTTTATTTTGTAGATTTTTGTATTTCGTTTCAAAAATGTTGTGTGTATATATAGTAGGCTGACATCTCCTTTAAGTTTAACTTAACAATCAGAACACATGTAATAGACAAGTGTTTGTTGTTTTCTGTGTCCATGGACTGTTCTCATTACAGCCATTGCGCCATTGGAAACACTGCTACCGAATTGAGACAAAAAATAATTCCCTCCTTATGCTTTATTGTGCCTTAACTACTACTTTGGTCGAGTGAAATGTAACACTTTTAAAATATGTTTTAATACCACTTTTGCCTCAATGTTTGCCGCAAATGTCAATAAAAATGTTACCAAAAGGATGAAGGTGTCCTCACGTGTTCTGGCCACACAGTGCGGCACAAACATCACGTGACATAAGCCACGCCTACTGTTGAGCGAGTCCATGCTGTATACCGAGGGGGGACTGACTGGGACTTCACATTCAGTTATGCTGTTTTTAGAAGGAACTCGTAACAAGAGGTACTGCTCGATCCATTGCGTGGTCATACTTTTGTTTCTGTAATGCATGCTTTGCTAAGATTTACAGAAGCTTAGATAAGTTTGCCTCTTGTAAGAGACCGCCCCTATAACTGAAGTGGTATGTCTCTGCAAACCAAACTGGGCTAACTTGACTGCTGCTGGATTAACGAAACCCAGACAGGGGAGCGGTGTCGAGTATCTTGTAAATACGGCAAAAAACATTGAGGAAGAAGCCCTGCACCTCTTTGACCTCTTCTTGATTCACAAAAGTCATGTCTACGCCGGCTAGAAGGAGACTTATGAGAGATTTCAAAAGGTGGGTCGAAGAAATCGACAGTATCGGTGTGTTACCGTGCAATGCTAATGTTAGCCAATAGCCAAAAGCTCTATTGTAATTTAAATAACGACACCACTTAGTTTGTCTAATTTAGCCACGCACATAATGGTAAAATAACATTAAGTAGGATCTCCTAGTCGGCAACTCGACCTACCTCAATATGAAACGATACTAGTGAAACACAGTCTTGTATTATTTATAATTACTTAGGTGAAGTATTGTGACTATACAACCACCCTTTAAGTTTTATAGTTGTGCATTTATTTTCAAATGTGTTTGCAAGATGGGATATTGTTACAAAGTCAACAAAAACCTGGATAGAAGCTCTTTTTCGCAGTAACTTAATCAATAGTTATATTAAATGTGTTCTAATTTACCTATACAGGCTACAAGAGGACCCTCCAGCTGGTGTTAGTGGAGCACCATCAGAAAACAACATTATGGTGTGGAACGCAGTCATTTTTGGGTGAGCTTCTTCAGTCCTTTTTTTCATATTTCTGCAAATCCACCTGTTTCTAAGTTGACATCCTCTGATTTATGTTACAGGCCAGAAGGCACCCCATTTGAAGATGGTGAGATATTCTACCATCTACATGTATCTTATACAAATATTTTGATAAAGATGTTTGTATAGGAGCTATACGTCAATGGTTTTACCTATTATGTGGACTATTTTCTGCTATGCTTACAGGTACATTTAAACTCACTGTAGAGTTCACCGAAGAATATCCCAATAAACCGCCGACAGTACGATTTGTGTCAAAGATGTTTCATCCAAATGGTAAAGTATTTAATTGGACTAATGACAAGAACATAGAATATCACCAATATCGTGCTTTCCTCTCAGTCTATGCAGATGGCAGTATATGTTTGGACATTTTGCAAAACCGCTGGAGCCCAACCTATGATGTTTCTTCTATTCTTACATCCATTCAGGTAATAATATAGTATCATTTTGTTTATGCAACAAGCTAAGTTTATTTGGTGCTTTGTGTGACCCCACCCCCACGTGTTATCAGCTTTAATTACGCTTAAGTACTTTTGGATTGGAAGTAAATCCAAAGTATTTTACTTAAAGGAGCAGTATGTAAAAATCTGACAAAGTGTTACTGCAACCTCTCCCACTCTCCCTGACTCAGGTTGCCAGATTTGCAGACGAATCCAGCTGGGACCATAAAATCTGAATAGTTTTGTCAACAGCAAATCTATAACCAACACCTGGCTTTAAACCTTGTTTTGTCATTAATGATTTGAGAATTATAATGAGACCTTTTTTAGTCCTGCAGCCACATGTTACTTTCCCAGTGAGATTAGCTCGATGCGGTGAGTTCTGGCAACCCAGATCACGGACTTTTTGATTGGTAAAACGGTGGAGGGCGGGACAAGATTTGGGGACTGTAAAACAAATTTTGAAATTCATATATCTCGGCTGAACTACTGTTATCTTTAAAGAAGTATTGGCATGGAGCATAGTTTATTGAAGCCTTTTGACTGATAAGGACAATTTCATGACTTGACATGAAAATCTTACATATTGCTACTTTAGCAAAAGCTGTCCTTGCACTCTAGCCCCTGACTGGATAAGGAATACATTATGTATAAAAGGTTTCATCAGAACAGTTGAGGCCTGATGAGAAATACTTTTGACACGGCGCTGTTGAAACCAGGCCCTAATGTTTTTGCCAATAAAGTTTGTGACTATAACAACATTCTTGTCTTATCATTAGTTATTTTAACATTTAAAATGTATATGTATTCCCCCCATACAGTCTCTGCTTGATGAACCAAATCCCAACAGTCCAGCCAACAGTCAAGCTGCTCAGCTTTACCAGGAGAACAAGCGAGAGTATGAAAAACGCGTTTCTGCTATTGTTGAACAAAGCTGGAGGGATAGTTGACCTCACAATCAATGTAGCTTTTCCCATTGTGTGTGCTGCAATTTTAGTCAAGTCCCTCCTTTAGGTTGTTTGCCATGGTTTCCCAACATGTTTTTTATTTCAAGTTTTTATGCACTTTACCTATAATGTCCACCTTCAATAAGCCTTTTTATGTCAGGAATAATCTTCCCTCACCTGGTTGAAGTTCTTCAGGGGAACTATTCTAAATCTTGCCTTGTCACTATGGACTTAGAGACTTGCTTTACAAAGTATTTCACCATTTAAAATCACACCTATAAATTATGTTGAATTGTGCAGTTCTGTCAGAGCAGGTGCATTTCTACACCTCATTGCCTTTTCTATAAAAGGTGACCAAAGTAGCTCAAACATCACTGGGGAAAATGACAACCTTTTTGCTGTGTTGTGAACTGTTACAAGCATGGAAAGTCTGTATTTTTGTTCAGTACTTGTGTAAATAAGAATCACAGCTTAACCTATGTACAAATTTTGCACTGGTTAATGTCATTTTTCAGTACTTGTAAATAAAAAGTTTCACGATATCTGTGCGTTGTAAATTTAACAGATTCTGAAAAAAGCTTTATTGCATGCATTGCATAAGTAATTGCATGCAGATTTGAGGAAAAACCACTCAAGATTCTCATTTGCAAAAATAACTTTACTGGGACATTCTGTACTAAGTGTTTAATATTAATCGCAAATAAAAATTGGACATTACAATATTGATGAGCACAGGTATTCACGCTACCTATTGTACGCTCTCTCCTTTTTAGCCCTTTCTAAGGCTTTGTCCATAGTCTTCTCATTGTCTCCACGACACTTGGGGCAGTACCACTTTCCTTTGGGCTTATGATGGAGCCCCACACAGGAGAAGTGGAACCACTCAATAGGACACTCATCGTTATCGCAGCCTATCATCTCACCATAGGACACTTGTTCACACAGACAGTATGTGGGCTCATCAGGATCAATTGGCAAATCCGGGGGAGAAACTTCACGCTCAGACTTTCCTTTAGACCTCTTCTTCTTTTTAGACGAAGCTTTTGCTCGTTTTTCTCGTGACGCACCCAATCCCAAATCTTCAGAATGATCCAAAGCCCCATAACTTTCACGACCATCTCCATTCTTCTGCCGTCTAGAGCGTTTACCTCCAGCCTTCTCCACACTGGCAGAGCTTGGGGTTACCTCTTCACGTTTTTTCTCGTGGTGACCAGTTTTGCCAGGTGTAATGGCTGAAGGGGTCGATGAAGACAAAGAGGCCGCAGTGGTTGTCAGTGAAGTGGCTGTTGTCACGTGACTTTCCGAAACTTCTTGAGAGGACAGAAGAGCTTCAGAATGCCAATCCATCTGACGCGTTCTGTTCTCCACTAATTCCACCTACGGATATAGACAAAAATATAAATATATAGATATAAAAAAAACATTTTTCCACCAGTAAAAATTAGTTGCTTTGTAGATTTTTTATTCCGGTGTAATTAGGTCAAAATGTGTATTTACTGTGTTTATAGAAGTATTTAATTAAATACAGCAGGTATCTCCAACCTATAGCTCAGGTCCTAGGAGCAACTACCACCTCGACCAGTCAGACCCACACACAGTTGATGGGTCTGGTCAGGCTAAATCCCCAGTGAATTTGAAAATTATAAATATTATAAATCTCATGATTTATATGTCTACTGACTCCATACTTTGTGCACAGATAAAATTGATGATTGTTTATGGGCTGTATATCTAAGGAAGTATTGATTATTATTTTTGTCATGATAAAGTTGCTATCTGCAGATAAAGAGGGTTGAGACCCATAAAATGCATCATAATTTCACTATCTGGGGCGACAGTAGCTCAGTTGGTAGAGTATTGGCCTTAGAGCCTGAAGGTTGTGGGTTCGATCCCACCGTAAGACCTACTTCACGACTCCCACTGATGACTGCTGTCGTTGTGTCCTTGGGCAAGACACTTAACCCGACTTTGCCTGAAGCTCCCACTGAAAGATCTCAGCTCCTGTGGACTCACCACCTGCAGGAGGATCAGTGAGGGGCTGGTGCTATGTGTACTGGGTGCAGCGTTGACTGCCACCCCCCTGACCCAGAAATGGATTAAGGGGAAGAAAATGGATGGATGGATGGATTTCACTATCTTGTGAGCCTCATGAAGGGAACCTCTGATGTATATCATGGTGCACAGGATACACTATACCACAAGAGTGTCAAACTCAATTTGAACAAATAGTAGCTTGTCAGGTGCCAAATAAGTAAAATGAGACATTTAGTAAGATAAAATGTTAAACATTAAGAGACAATAAAATAATAAAGCTATAATTGCACTTGGATAAAAGAAAGGTACACTTTTGAATGTTGTTACAAAATGTACTTTACTTACAAAGTACTTACTTATTTACTTATATCACATTATTTTCCGGAAGATGTTTCTGTCACAAAATGTGGATTCGATTTGCAATTATAGACTGATTTAATTTATGACGTCTTTGTATTTATTTAACTATATCTTGTGTGTTGGGTTCAGGTTTCAGAAAAAATCATAAATTAATTTAAAATCAGTTGAGGGGACACTAAAATGGTCCCTTTGGTTTGATGTATAATTGTAAGATAACACATACCATTTGGCCTGCGATTTGGATCTTTTCATCTCCAAGCTCCTGACTCCTGATCAAGGCTCGTTGAATCGATACCTGAAGTTTTCGCCTTTGAACAGAGTCCGTTTCTTGGCAATATTTCTCAAAAGACTCGTCAAGTTCCAACAGAACATCTAAAAAGCACACACAAACAGCTGTTAAAAATGAAACAAACAAAAAAATCCAAGTTTGAGGCTAAAGATTATCAAATTGCATCAACCTTGATACTTGGCATCAATTTCTTTCATGATGGACACACTTCTTTGCAAATCACAAGGCAGGGACTCCACCAGGTCCAGGTATTCCTCCAGGTATTTGACAACATGGCCTGGTTCGCCATTGGTTGGGTTTAACATGCCCACTCTTGTGTGAACGTCACTCTTTAACATAAGAAAACAAAACGTGTTATTGTTACAGTACACACATTTAGAATGCTGTTAAAGGCTTTGTACAAGTCTTTAAATCATCGGTGAGTTGGTCTGACTGTAGAGCTGTTAACGATGAACCAGTCAATAAATGATAATTATACACCAGTATACAGTGTAATATACAACATGAAAATGTAACACAATTAACATTCTATTTTTGAGCCTTTTTTCAATCACCCTTGAAGTATGATTAAACATATAAGGCCCATCTAAAATATTGTTTTAGGACTATAGAAAATAGCATATAAACTACCACACAATTCAATGTAAGTAACTAGTGTGTGCAACAACGTCACCAACATTACAACAGGCACAAAAGCGTGGAATGCCTCGATACCGCTATGTGACGAAGGAAACATGATATCACAGGAAAAATAAACAAACAGTTCAATATCTGTTCTAGTCTGAAGTTTTGGCATTTTAAGCGCGCAAGATTTACATTGTTCCGTCACATCACAGATTGCGCTGGAAAGATTCCCCTTTTGTTAAACTAACTCCAGCTTAGTGATCATTACACACAGCACGCAGACGCAGCGCTAGATCACGCTCCAGAGCAAACATTGTTAAAGCAGACATGTAAATGTGAAAGGGCAAACCTTGTTATTCTCGTAGCTGTCGTTATGCTACCATGGGCTGTAATGCTACCAACGCTGCTGGTTGCTAACACTGCGTCACGTGTATCGTACAACACGCATGCGCAAATTGTGTGTAGTTTATATATGACATTAGCTACATAGCAAAGTATATTTAAACATTGTTCAAAATGTAGTCAAACATATATACACAACAGTCAAATGTGTGTGTATTTTGTCTTATGTGTTTGTCTTCTGACCATGTTGTTGTAATTTTGAGGACCCCCTTGAAAACGATAGGGGCTCATCCCATAGACTGTATATATAAAAAATAAATAAACCAATATTTTCAACAAACAACTTAATGTTCAGTTAAAACGTATTACTTGTATATAACATACTTATAATACCTTGAAGTTACAATTCTTTTTTGTGTCTTAACAGTTGATTCTCTAATCAGTGTTTCAATGGTTTTGTTAAGTCCTCTGAGATGACTGCTGTTGTGATTTAGGGCTATACAAGAAGAAATTGTATTGTAATTGTCCTTTTACACAGTGGCTGTAATGTAAGTAAGACATTAACGATCCATGAAAACATTTAGAGTTCTATAGAAACCATTTAAAGAAATGCACTACATAGACCAAGCTGAATACTTTTATTTATGTAGCATTTTAATTTTCTAATAACTTCCTGAAAGCTAAGCCAATCTCCTGGATCATGTCTGATGTAGTGGTGGATCTGCCATTCCTCTGAAAGGCTTGATTGTTGCACTGCCGGGTAAGAGAACACGCACCATATGCTGCAACCACTGAGGGATTCACGCTGAATAAAGACAAGGGAAATACTTAGAATTCAAAAGTTCACAAACTGTGATACATGACCAAAAATAACCTCACCCTTGAAGTATTTCTACTTTGGAAACACTATCAGCCCAATGTGCAAATACTCCCAGAGATCCTGACAGCAGATCGCCTTGTCCACCGCAACGACGGCCACTGCCTTCAGTTTTGCAGGACACCACTGGACAAAATAGATGTTATAATTTACTGAAAGAACATTCTCATCTGGTATTCAACACAAACCATTGCTCCCCTGTGCAATCAGATCATGTTCTCCCTTTAACACTACAGTGGCATTCCCCATGGCAACGCTCAGGTGTGCAACGCTGACTTTGAGGTCGCTGGTGTTCACAGGTTCATGGAGCTGCGTATTCACAAACAGAATTACAAAAGTTAAAAGGTGCCATATTATACTTTGACTTTTCTCGGCTATACATGATTGCAGTGCTATTAGGGCTTCATACACATGCCCAGTAGTTTTCATTGATTCCCTCAAGCTTTAGTTAGAGAGCGATCTTTCGCTTTCACTCGAGAGGCAGCAAAGATTTCAACGTCGATGACGAATATGTTTGTCGCCATTAGGGCTGCACGATATTGGAAATTATAGCAATATTCGATAAGAGTGTTTAGAATTTCGATAAAAGATATTACGAGATTTTTGTCTTTCACTTAAAATTGCAATCTGCATTGAAACCCAAGAGACAAATAACAAAAAATAAGCACATTAATGACATTCAAGTGCATATATGTATATACTGTTTGTTGTTCTTGTTGAATGTTGATGTTTTCGATATGGATATTGCACGCACCAATATATATCGTATATATAATATATATACATATATATATTATATAATATATTCCGATATATCGTGCAGCCCTAGTTGTCATTATTAATAATAATAATAATACTAAAATCCAGGAGGTGATTGACAAATCAAAACAGCGAATCACCTCGCACAGCCAGTGCATGTTTATGGTACAGTCCCGCGTCCACCACATGGAGCAATACTGTTTTTCTGCTTTTGTCAGCGACTAAAAGTTTTAGAATCATGTCAACTCGGAGAAAATGTGTTAAAATGTGACGCACTATTTGCCCCGAAGAAGAATGCTGTTCATCCGCGAAACTTCACAAAGACCGTTTCAGAACTAGTTACCATGGAACTGGACTTACTCAAAAGCTGATCTGGAAACCTGCGTTATTCACACGATTGCTCCTCTCTGGATCAGCCTGTTTGAGTTGAGGTGACATCACCTCTATGCAAGAGATGGCTATAATCTCCCAAGTTTTGAGTGTTGTATGGTGTATCACTCAAATAATTATCACACATACAGGAGGAACTGTGAAACATGAACAAGAGCGCAATATGACACCTTTAACGTTCACACTACTTTGACTATGGCTGCACACAACAATAAAACCACCAAAAGGCATTAGTTCCGCGCTCAAAAAACCCCAAATGTAAAGCACTTCCTGTTTGTTTTACATTTGATACACATTATGAATGTTTTCACCATAGACTGTATATATTAACGGACAGAGTCACGCCTATCTCCGCCGTTCTAAAGAAAATGTGCTCTACTGGAGCTACCCAAAATGGCCACGAGTGGTCCCGCCCACAAGAAAATTGTGAAAAAAACGCATCTGCGCATGCGTCAGCCGGCGCAGCTCCATTCATTTGAACGAGAGACTTCAAAAATTCACAGCAAGTAAACTAGAGTGGACCAAAAAAATCTACCCCCCTCAGCATTGACACACATGTGGAGCGGAGCTTTGGGCCAAGAGCCAACTTTTGGTCCATCCTGTAAAGACGTTTTTGAGAGGTTTGCCAATGCTATATGCTAGCATTGGCTAATTCTTCTTCTGGGTCCACCCCAAGCCCCGGCGATCCAAGATGGCGCCCTATTCAAATGAATGGTTGTGCTCAGTGGCGCTTTGTGACGGCATGGGGGCTGAAAGATTAGCGGAAGTTGCTTGAAACTCGCAAAGATCTATGGGAAACTCGCCTGTATTTGGGCATTGTCTGGTCCTCCCGGTTCTGCGCAGTGGATGATCTCCCATAATGCGTTGCGCCAAACACGCGTGTGTGGGTCTCACACCGGGTCTCACGCACGTGCACAGGGGGGCTCGGCTGCGCTCTGACCAATCAGAGCAGTTCATCAGAGCGGGAGTTAGAGCGAGAGCCAGATGAGCAGTTTGTGGCACTAAAGTGTGGATTTAAACAAAACCGAAGGATTTAAGAAGAAAAAAAGTTCAGGATGACATGGGACACTAAAATCCCCACAAAATCCGATCTTTATGAAAGCTGTAGGTTTTCTGTCAGCTGAGGTCGAGCTGTTTTAATATGCATTGAGTTCTATGGGGAAAATTTCTGGGTAGCCCACGTGAATTTAGTCTGGTTCAGTCTGCAGTACCGCGAGAATCCCCTGAGCACATGAGTTATTCAGCTACAAGCTAGTAATACCCTATCCAGTTATTATAATAAATCCATGGTCCACCCCCATCGGCCCAGGGTGGTATTGCAAGCATGTCAGCGCACGTCATTTTGGCCACTTTTGAGCCGGGACCCGCCCCCACTGGTTTTCACATACCACTGCATCATACAGTCTAGTGAACTCCATCATGTTTGGGGTGAGGATGCTCTTGTGGTATCCTTGAATTACAGATGGCTGCTGTGTAACAAGCCATAATCCATCCTGTGGAAACAATGCGTTAATGTGAAGGTTCCCAGGAGAATAGACATGTTCAGAGTAATGTACTCACTGCATCTATGACAACAGGGATGTCTCTAGCTTTTGATTCATTTATTATTTCCTAAACAAATAAAACCAAAACATAAATGTACATCAAATAAAAAAACACGCACTTTCAACATTAAAATATGACATACTTTAGCAGTTTGAAGTATGTGATCATCTCTCCCAAGCCCTGGTCCCACCACTACACTGTGTAACCTTGGAAGCCATTTTTTGATTTCTTCCAAAGCATTAGCGCGGTCTCTGCACAAGTAAACAACACAGTGAGCTTACACTGTTCAAACTGTTTAGAACTGTGCTATGCTGTAAGTATAATTTTATATCACATTAGAAATATTGGATTTGTACTTACAAAACAGGATGCACAATCAATTCAGGACTGTATGATTTAATGACAGGTGCTGCATCTTTTGTGCAGAAAACATGAGCCAAATCAGCCCCCTAAAACACAATCAATGAATAAATATTACAACTAACATAAAATACACCGACACTCAGCTGAGTGAGGTCGGATATTGACTTACCACTTTCAGTGCCGAAATTGCGGCAAAATAAGGTGCACCAGTGTACCTGAAATGACAATGTTATAAAACCAATATTAGATAGACATGTTATCTGCAACATACTCCTGGCATCCTCCGATGATTCCGATCCGTCCATCTTGTCCTTTGTGCTTCTTAGATGATAGTGGGGGGACTGTTCTCTTCACCAGAGCTAGGATGCCATCATCCATGCTTTGCTGTGATTTGGAGCTAAAGCTGCAGTAACGCTCAAGCACTGGGAAATATTAACCAGAAGCAAAACAATGTTAGTGCAACAAAATACATTCTATCAGAGCGTTCATAATTTGAGTTTTAAAATGTGGCTTTCGAAATTGCAGCAACATTATATTAATCAATTTCTCCCCCAACCCTATAGCTTTGTTTCTTTTTTTACATGAGAAATAATAACAATACTTTTCTTTCAGTATGGAACACAAATACCTCCTAAATGTTGAAAATCTTGATTAAACACAGGACTGTGTAGATTGAAAGCCTCTTGTGTTGGTGAGTGACGGACATGAGCGGGCTGACTCTCTGCAAGCGGGGTGCTGTGGGCCTCAGAAGGCCTGGTGGAGGAGATGTTGGTTAACATCTGTCCCAACATCTGCAGCATGTGCATCTCTCTGCTGTGCTCAGTCTCTCTTCTGGAGTCTTCTGCTTTTAACCGCTTCTCTTCAACTCGATAGAAGTTGTGCTCGGCCTGGGCACTCTGCTCCAGGAATTGTTCCATTAGTTTCTCCATGGGAAAGTTAGTGCGGCGTCTCCTGGGGCGCTTGGTTGTTTGAGCAGGTAAGGTGTTTCTGCTAAGGCTGTTCAACTGGGGTTTTACAGGGGTACCTTAAATAATACGGGTTCATGTTAAACGTAGTGACAAAACGAGTAATTCCTTATGCGCTGACTTTTATTTAACTTACCATTTGTATTCACTATTACTTTGACAGGAACAGGGCTTGGAATACTGCCATACTCCAGCTTGACTTGAGTGTGAGGACATTTAAAACCCTCAGTATTTTCAGAATATGTCTCTTGAGGATCGTGTCCCTCTTCATCAAGCCCATCCAAGACTTCCTCATCACCAGGCCCACAGTCCAACATCTCAGCTGGCTCTGAGATTGGACGGTTACTCAAGATCCTCTCCATAACGTCATAGAATTTACAGATTTTATGGTAGTGTCCGCTGTTGCGTATGTTCCCCTCTTTTGCCAGTAAGAATTGTCTCTTTAGGCTTTTTACCCGTACCCTGCATTGCTCTGGGGTCCTGTCAAACCCCAAAGCTGCCAGTCTACGTGCTACATCACGATAAACGAAACTGTTGCGAAAGCTCCCGTCCAGGGCTGTCTGGATGTCCTGCTCGCCCCAGATGTCCAGCAAGGTCCTGGTCTCCACGTCCGACCACAAGAACCCCCGTGTGGCGTTGGAGTGCATCCCCAAGTGAGCAGCTAGCTAGCCGCGGTGATAGCTAGCTAGCACATCGACTGGTGCCTCGATATGATAAACAAAGGAGGCAGTTTGTTGTTGAATCAATAAATAACCACAATATTACTCTAAATGTGAGGGAGGTGGGCGAGTACAGCCGTTCGAAGGTCGGTGGTTATCATCCGCCACGTGGTGTTATGAAAAACGCAGAAGCAGGAACACTTCTGAGATAATTCCATCGTGTTTTCGATCACAACCTGCAGAAACCACAGAAATGACCTGCGTTCATCAGCCTGGAGCAGTCACCGCCCTCATCCTCCATATCTACGACCCAAACACAGACTGACGAGGGGTCCACAGGGTCCTAGAGAGCCCACAACACAACTGTTCATCAAACTATATCAGTGGGAACAGCTTGACTTTACCTGCTTCGTTCAAATACAGCCACACCGCGCACAGAGGAAACACTACTACTGTGATGAAGAGGCACAGTGGCTGAGTGGGATACATGCCTCTCAGTCACAGACAACACTGATGACATTCAAACACAACATTTGGTAGCTTTCTGCACTATCCTTACCCAGCACATGACAGCGTCTGAGGGCGGACAGCTGTAAACACACCACCCCGAGCATGAGGCACCACAGAGACCGCGAAAAGGAAAACCTGGAGTGAGGCGTTTACGGCCCCTCGGACACCACGGGGGCGACAATAAAGCGCTCTCAGTCAATGTTTCAGTCACTTGATTTAATTTCCAAACATCGTGGTTCATTTTTATAACGAAGCAGGCAGCATTTAGGTTACTTCAGAATTTTCCAATCACATAAGACACTTTCAACAACTTTTTCTTTTTATGTCAGTATATTTTAGTTTCTTGCCATCTACGTCGTATACACCTACACACCGCGGTAAAGTGGCCCGCATCTTTCAGCTCTATGAACATGCGGCCAGCATCGGGGAAAAGACGGTGTGCGTTTTGTTGAGAACTTACGGTAACAGCGGAACGTCCTTTCGGAGTCACCCATTTTTATCGAACAGAAAGCGCGCTGGGGTCAGGGAGACACGTTTTTGTGATTAAAACCTTATAGAGATGACACATAGCACCAGCCCCCTACGATTCCTCCGGCAGGTTGTGAGTCCTCAGGAGGATAGCCACTCTATTGTTTACATATATAAAGTACACAATTTGGTCCGCTAGTGCAATTTTCAAGTATTGTAACTATTTACTGGAAAAAGGTGTGCGACTAATTTCACTTGACTCATGAGCTTATTATTACCCTCTACCACTGTACCAAAGACCAGAAACTTTTACTGTAGAAATATTGAGAAATATTGAGGTAAAGTAGCCATTTTGGTCCAAAATACCTCCAAAATAGTCAAAACATGTCACTTTTGATCTACTGTAACTTTTTACTGTAAAAAGGTGTGCGACTAATTTCACTGGATTCATGACCTCAACATTGCCCTCTACCACTGTACCAAAGACCAGAAACTTTTACTGTAGAAATTTGGAGAAATATTGAGTTAAAGTAGCCATTTTGGTCCAAAATAGCCTAAAAATGGTCAAAACATGTCACTTTTGATCTACTGTAACTTTTTACTGTAAAAAGGTGTGCGACTAATTTCACTGGATTCATGACCTCATGATTGCCCTCTACCACTGTACCAAAGACCAGAAACTTTTACTGTAGAAATATTGGAGAAATATGGAGTTAAAGTAGCCATTTTGGTCCAAAATAGCCTAAAAATGGTCAAAACATGTCACTTTTGATCTACTGTAACTTTTTACTGTAAAAAGGTGTGCGACTAATTTCACTGGATTCATGACCTCATGATTGCCCTCTACCACTGTACCAAAGACCAGACACTTTTACTGTAGAAATATTGAGAAATATTGAGGTAAAGTAGCCATTTTGGTCCAAAATAGCCTAAAAATGGTCAAAACATGTCACTTTTGATCTACTGTAACTTATTACTGTAAAAAGGTGTGCGACTAATTTCACTGGATTCATGACCTCAACATTGCCCTCTACCACTGTACCAAAGACCAGAAACTTTTACTGTAGAAATATTGAGAAATATTGATTTAAAGTAGCCATTTTGGTCCAAAATAGCCTAAAAATGGTCAAAACATGTCACTTTTGATCTACTGTAACTTTTCACTGTAAAAAGGTGTGCGACTAATTTCACTGGATTCATGACCTCATGATTGCCCTCTACCACTGTACCAAAGACCAGAAACTTTTACTGTAGAAATTTGGAGAAATATGGAGTTAAAGTAGCCATTTTGGTCCAAAATAGCCTAAAAATGGTCAAAACATGTCACTTTTGATCTACTGTATCTTCTTACTGTAAAAAGGTGTGCGACTAATTTCACTGGATTCATGACCTCAACATTGCCCTCTACCACTGTACCAAAGACCAGACACTTTTACTGTATAAATATTGAGAAATATTGATTTAAAGTAGCCATTTTGGTCCAAAATAGCCTAAAAATGGTCAAAACATGTCACTTTTGATCTACTGTAACTTATTACTGTAAAAAGGTGTGCGACTAATTTCACTGGATTCATGACCTCATGATTGCCCTCTACCACTGTACCAAAGACCAGGAACTTTTACTGTAGAAATCTGGAGAAATATGGAGTTATAAGTAGCCATTTTGGACCAAAATGGCTACTTTACCTCAATATTTCTCAATTGAGTGGTAGAGGGCAATCATGAGGTCATGAATCCCTCTACAGTGCCCTGTACAGTGGTAGAGGGCAATCATGAGGTCATGAATCCAGTGAAATTAGTCGCACACCTTTTTACAGTGAAAAGTTACAGTAGATCAAAAGTGACATGTTTTGACCATTTTTAGGCTATTTTGGACCAAAATGGCTACTTTAACTCCATATTTCTCCAAATTTCTACAGTAAAAGTTTCTGGTCTTTGGTACAGTGGTAGAGGGCAATGTTGAGGTCATGAATCCAGTGAAATTAGTCGCACACCTTTTTACAGTGAAAAGTTACAGTAGATCAAAAGTGACATGTTTTGACCATTTTTAGGCTATTTTGGACCAAAATGACTACTTTAAATCAATATTTCTCAATATTTCTACAGTAAAAGTTTCTGTTCTTTGGTACAGTGGTAGAGGGCAATCATGAGGTCATGAATCCAGTGAAATTAGTCGCACACCTTTTTACAGTAATAAGTTACAGTAGATCAAAAGTGACATGTTTTGACCATTTTTAGGCTATTTTGGACCAAAATGGCTACTTTAACTCCATATTTCTCCAAATTTCTACAGTAAAAGTTTCTGGTCTTTGGTACAGTGGTAGAGGGCAATCATGAGGTCATGAATCCAGTGAAATTAGTCGCACACCTTTTTACAGTAATAAGTTACAGTAGATCAAAAGTGACATGTTTTGACCATTTTTAGGCTATTTTGGACCAAAATGACTACTTTAAATCAATATTTCTACAGTAAAAGTTCCTGTTCTTTGGTACAGTGGTAGAGGGCAATCATGAGGTCATGAATCCAGTGAAATTAGTCGCACACCTTTTTACAGTGAAAAGTTACAGTAGATCAAAAGTGACATGTTTTGACCATTTTTAGGCTATTTTGGACCAAAATGGCTACTTTAACTCCATATTTCTCCAAATTTCTACAGTAAAAGTTCCTGGTCTTTGGTACAGTGGTAGAGGGCAATGTTGAGGTCATGAATCCAGTGAAATTAGTCGCACACCTTTTTACAGTAAAAAGTTACAGTAGATCAAAAGTGACATGTTTTGACTATTTTGGAGGTATTTTGGACCAAAATGGCTTCTTTAAATCAATATTTCTCAATATTTCTACAGTAAATGTTTCTTGTCTTTGGTACAGTGGTAGAGGGCAATGTTGAGGTCATGAATCCAGTGAAATTAGTCGCACACCTTTTTACAGTAAGAAGATACAGTAGATCAAAAGTGACATGTTTTGACCATTTTTAGGCTATTTTGGACCAAAATGACTACTTTAAATCAATATTTCTCAATATTTCTACAGTAAAAGTGTCTGGTCTTTGGTACAGTGGTTGAGGTCATGAATCCAGTGAAATCAGTCGCACACCTTTTTACAGTAAAAAAGTTACAGTAGATCAAAAGTGGGAATTTTCTTAGTTTTGTGTATTTTGGACTAAAACGTGTAATTTGTCTCAATTTTACCCACAATTTCCAAAGTAAAGGTTTGTGGTTGTAGGCACAGCGGTGAAGGCAGTGGTGAGGTCATACACCCAGTGGAATAAGATACTCAAGTCTTTACTGTAAAAATGGACAGCAGCTGAAAATTTCACTTTTTGACCAAATTAAATGTCGAACATTTTAAGTTTTTACATGCTTTTCCAAATAAGGGTTTACTCACAAAACGAGTCTCCTAAGCGCGCTTTCTGTTCGAGGAGAAAAGCTGACAGCGAAAGGCTGTTCTGCTATTACCGTAAGCAGTCAACAAAACGCGCACTGCTTTTCTCTCGATGCGGGCCGTTTTACTTCGGAGGTGAAAGATGCGGCCCACTTTACCGCGGTCACCTACACCACTCTGACAACTTGGTGTGTACAAAATTGCCCTTTATTTTCTCCTATAAACACAAAGGCAAAAAATCAGGACAAGAAGACAGCAGCTGATACAGTACTAATGACGTTATTTTCTGTATATTTTCTCATCTAAAATACAGTCAAATTAGAATGTGCTTTACCTTGCAAACAATGTTCTGGGATTACTCGTAATCCATTTAGCTCTTCACCTACTTCCTGTTTGGCCTTCGTCAGTACTATTTTTTTTTTTTAAGTTTCTGTTCCTGAACTTTGCTTCACATGGAGCTGAGCTGAGTAATGCTGCCGCCGTGGGGGATTCATGCTTTCACAAAATGGCACATCTCTCTAGACTACGGATCTTCACTATCTAACCGGACTGTGTTTCTGAATACTGTGTTTTCTGATGAGCAGAAAGAGGCATCATGCCCGAGGTGTCGAAGCTGAAGAAGCCCGATGCAAAGCTCGTCCTCCTGGGGGACATGAATGTGGGGAAGACATCTCTGCTCCACCGCTACACGGAGAGGAAGTTTAAAGACACTGTGAGCACGGTCGGAGGGGCCTTTTTCCTCAAACAGTGGGGGCCATACAACATCTCCATATGGGACACAGCAGGTAACATGTGTTCAAATGTGTTTTGTTACCTGATGGTGACCTCCACCTGTGCCTGTCTCACACGTGATGTCCTCCTCCTGGTTAATCAGTACCTGAGATCCAAAATCCACTCGGCAGCCAATTTTACCCAAAACACATGTCTTTCCATTTTTGTTATTATCAGATGACTCGATCCGATATATGTATGAAGGCGTAAACATGTTTTAACAAATCATTAACATTTGCGTTCACATCTTGCTTCATTGTATCCTTTTTAATTTAACATAACAGCTACATTCTGTGGCACAGCGTTAATGTCAGCATGTCTAATCAGAAATAGTTCTGTGAAAAGGGGAACCGTTAACTTTGTCTATTGCAAATAGTTTTCTTGAATGGCAGCCCGAGGCAATGTTCAGATCAGTCAGTGAGGCAGAAAGTGCTGACAGAATGGAAAGTTATTTCAGTTGTTGTTGTAATCTCTTCATCTCACACACAGACAATGCGTCCTTCATAGATGTATACTGTAGTGTGTGTAATTTCAGATAAACTGTACAGCTATGGATCTTCAAGATCTATCCTGTTCCCATGGATTATAGTTCTAGGCCTGTTCCTCATTGAGTCACATGATCTGCTGATAAGACTGAAGACATGATTTTTGTAGCCTTACAAAACAGGATTATAACTAACTCTAGTTCTGTAAGGTTTATTTTCATATAATGACCAATCTAGTTTTTTGTGTAGAATGCAAGTATTCTATATTGTACTCCATGTGCATCATGTTGGAAACTGCCTGCTCTTTTGCCAATTGTCACAGTCCTAATTCCTATATGGTGTCAGCCCATAGTCAACATATTGAAATTGGTAAAACATATCAACAGTTAGATTATTCTTGCCTTATTTGGTACAAGCTATAGATAAATCTGACTGCATTTTATATCAATGCAAACTAATTCTGTTTCTGACCCCATCAGAAAACATTCTGAAACAGTCAATGTTTCACAAGCGAAACACTGCATGCCTGCTTCATAAAGGCTTTTTGTTCTCAGGTTTATCTGACTGTACTCTGCCAGCAGCAGGCGAGGGCACACACTCTGGGGGTGATATTTCTCCTGAATGATTTCGTGGAAATGAAAAGTTTAAAACATACTTCGAAAGATTATTGCCAAAGTGACTGTGTTTCCATAGAAATGAGCAAGATGAGGCACTCTTCCAGGACAAGTATGTGTCAGGTTTATGCATTCAAGTCAAATTGCGTTATTTTTGTATTGTCCAAAATCACAACTGCAGTAGTCTCAAAGGAAATCAAATAATTGTAGATTCACCAACAGCAGATTAGAAAGCCAAATAATAACACATACAAATGCAACAATAAAACTACCAAAAGGCATTAGTTCCGTGCTGAAAAAAACCCCAAATGTAAAGCACTTCCTGAAAACAGTAGACGGGGCTGGAGTGCTTCTTGGATGTAAAAATTAAATGAGGAAAAAAGTAAACTTTTGGTGCTCTTCAGTGGAGGGACCAATGTTGATAGTTCAGACAGAAGACTGAGGCACTCAAAAGTTACACAAATCTTTAAAAGCACTTCCTGTTTGAGTTACATTTGATACACATTATGAATGTTTTCACTTCTAAATTCTCTGTGCTTGATCTATCATGAATCCTTTAGGTCGGGAGCAGTTCCATGGTTTGGGGTCGATGTATTGTCGTGGAGCCAGTGCCATCATCCTCACCTATGATGTAACCAACTGGCAGAGTCTGGTGGAGCTGGAGGAGCGGTTTCTCTCTCTGACAGACACTGCCAACCAGGATTGCATCTACGCTGTGGTGGGCAACAAGCTGGACCTGACAGACCTCAAAGCTCAGTTACCAGAAGCTTTGGACACAGAGGACCAAAAGTCCCAGGTGCTGTCTGCTTGTCCCACGCCGCCCGCCTCCCCCGTCTCAATCTCAGGAGTACTACTTCGCAAACAGGTCACCCATGACGACGCTGTTGCGTTTTATGGCCGAATATTACGATACAAAGGAATGGATGAAAAAAGCACTTTGGCTGCTGAGAAAATGTGCTTTGAAACCAGTGCCAAAACAGGGTTTAATGTGGATAGTCTTTTTGAGACACTTTTTGACCTTTTGTTACCCTCTATTCTCAGAAAAAGGAACGAAAACCAAGAGTCACCAACAGTGGACTTGGAGGACGCTAGTGGGAGTAAGAAGAGAAAAGCTTCTTGCTGCTAGTTGAACTGTTTTTTTCTTAGCAAGCACATATGAATTTTCAAGCACTAATTAAAATTTGATGTATATTGATATTTTAGTCATACCATTTCTAATCATGAATCATTTACATTCAAAATTTTTAAGTTGAGTCAGGAGGGGGCCCAAACCACTCTGATCAGTGAAAATGCACTTTATATGTCTTTAAGGAATTCACGATACATGAGATGTTTGCACTGTTTAAGGCTCACTGTGACAGTATTTTCCATAATCTTGTTCACTGTTTGTAATGCAACTGGTCCTATAATGTTCAATGTGGCATACCTTAAGTGCATTCAATTTTATATGATACATGCAATAATAAATGTTTGTTTATTGTTTGTAAAATTCTTTTGTTTGGAGGAAGTACAAAACACTTAACAAATAGATTTTTATTATTGTCATACAAAATACAATTATGTGAACAGATTGTAATTTAATAGTGGTTGACCCATGAATTGACCAAATATAAAAATATGTATTGGTAATTATTCTAGTGGTGTTATTTACTCATAGAAAAGATGCAAGTTTGTTCAGCAGAGATAAATAATAAATCAGTGCAATCTGTGAACATACTCAAACAAATTTACAATATATGAAGGAGTAAGAAGCCGTTAATGTGGTGTCAGGGCTTAATATGGTGGAAGCATTTACTACATGTGCATCTTTGGTTTGGCTGTATTGATAATGGCAAAACATTATTTGAGGTAATAAGTTAAAAGCACCAATCAACATAATCGGCCACATCAAAATGTTATTTAGCCTCATCAAGAAAATAAGTATTTACAACATGATCTTAGGGCAAAAGGACGCCTTTGCAGGGTAAAGCCTGGGTTGAAGCAGTCAGTGGGGGTGTTTTATAGCGCCATCTGGTGGTTTAAGAAGTGCACTTGAATGCAAGACTACTCCAGAGAGTTAACGCAAACGTAAAACAGTTGTAATAAAGTAGGTTGTAAGTGATAGAGGTGAATGTCTATCAAACTAACAACATGTTTGCAATAAAAGTGCTTCTTCAAATGAGTACATTTGAAGACCAAGACTGTTTCTGTTATGCTGTAATGAATAATAAACAGACTTTTCTGAGTGAGTCACTTCAGTGCTTATCGTGATGTCCGCCACCACAAACACACACATGCAAACACAGACAAATTTGGCCCATGGATTAGTATCCATTCCCCTGTATTGGAAGCATTAGTCAATTTCACAAGTTCTTCATGCAGACCTGACAGCGGCTGATGCGGGACAGAAGTTGTCCAGCTTTTAGTGTCTCTGCTGCTGGTTCACTGTGGAAGGACTGGTCTATGGACGTCAGCCAGAAACTGTGTTTGTTTGCAAAATAGTGACAGGTGCCTTTGGCTCCATTGCATTCAAGAAACGGTGTGGTCCTGAAGTCCTCCAAACAGGAGCCGGGGGAAGACAGCGACTGCCCCCCGCCTTCATTTCCAGCAGCAGTGTGCTGTGGAGGAGAGATTGTGCATTTCAATAAATACAACAGAGCCTTTGGGTTCAACATATGGGTATCCAAATAAACTAACACATTACATTATTTATACACTCCATGCACAATGGTAGCCACAGCTCTGGGACAAGCTGACAGACAAGGGGCTGCCACACAAGTGGGGACACTGGACCCGCTGAATCATTACATACAGATTCATACTCGCCAATGTGAGAGCAGTGAATAATGGCAGATGGCACCTTACAGCCTCCGTGGGACCTGCCATTCCCAGTGGTCACTCATCCAAATATAACCTTGACTTTCTTATTTTGGTAATTGATTAATCTAGCGATTGTTCAGTTAATTGTTAAAAACACAAGCTGCTGTGAAGCTGCTGCAGGAAATTTTAAAATATTCAGTATTTTCATTCAGGAAGAAAATGATCTGTGTTGTAGATTCATTTCAAATCCATACAAAATATCAAATGAAGCAGAGAGAGAAAGTAATCTTTACATAAAACTCCAGGACTCACCATGAGAAACGAGTATCCGATCCATAAACTTCGCCACCCAACCGGGCACTGTGGGATGGTGATATCCTGGCTGTGGACCGCTATAGCCACAGAAGGAGCCTCGCACACAGAGCAGCGGCTGATGTACGGCTTGATGTCGCCCTCCTCCACTGGCATCATGGGAAGAGGGGCCGTGGTCGACAGCCAGTAGGACTTGTCATTTCTGCTGGCGTAATAACATATGTCTCCGGGATTACAGTATAAGAACGGCATGGTGCTGAACTTTGGTAGACAAGAGCCAGCTAAACCTGCAAGAAAGAAATAAAATTAACTGTAGATGCTGATGTTTTTACATTGCACTTATACACAACAGTGTTATTATACACATACCAAGATCCTGGTTGTGAGCCTTTTCCTGGCCCTCAAAGTATAGCAAACTATATCCATCCCAGAGTTTGGCCATGCCCACAGGACACATGGGGGTATGATCTGTTTGACTGTGTTTGACCAGCAGGTAGCCCACACTGACACTGCGCCCTGGCATGCCAGGTAAACCAGGGACACCAGCTCTGCCACGGGGACCTGAGAGGGAAAATCAAATTCTATAATAATAATAATAATAATAATAATAATAATAATAATAATAATAATGGATCAATTTTATATAGCGCTTTTTTGGACACTCAAAGACGCTTTGCATGTCATTATTCTTTCACTCCATACATGGTGGTGATAAACTACTACTGTAGCCACAGCTGCCCTGGGGCACACTGACAGAAACGAGGCAACCAGTATGTGCCATTGACCCCTACCGTATGCACTACCATAAAGAACGTTTCCTCTGCCCAAATCGGCGGAGGACTTGGTCTCCTTAACAGAGCCTTGTGAGAGGCCTGTCCAGCTTCCAGAGAAGGACTATCAACTATGTGAAATTAACTTCAACCATCACTGTCTGGGATTCTACATTGCATTGAAGCATCAGTCTCCCTGTGGAGCGCTGCATGAGCCCACAGCAGGGCGCCTCACAGTGCTCTTTATGAACTGTAGGCTACACTCTACAGCTGCTTCTTACCCTGTGTTTGGTGTATATCCAGTTTTTATGTAATGTGTGCTCCTACCTTCCATTCCTTGTAAACCAGGGTGTCCCTCTTGACCTACATCGCCACGGAAACCAGGTGTTCCTGGGCGGCCGCTAACACCAGGCATCCCCTTCACACCAGAAGTCCCTAAGTAACCTATAGAGCAGTAAAATGACGTCAAACTTAGGGTTATCACTTGATTAACATTTATTTGATAATTCACCTGGATCTCCAGGCGGCCCCTGCTGACCGGACTCTCCTTTGACTCCCTTTGGTCCCAGGATGCCCTGTGGCCCTGGCGGACCCCTTTCACCTGGGATTTTGATTGGCAGCGGAGCAGGCCCTTGATCCCCTTCAGGTCCAGGGGAACCTGCAACAGGACATTCGAGGTAAAAGGACCTTTATTGAATTGAATAGATTTTTTATAAAACCTGCACATAATTTATTCATAAAAAAATACTCAGGGTTCTCACCAGAACTTTACAGTTTTTTTCATACGGTTCGATTTTGCAGATTTCGTATTTTTATGAGTTATAGTTAGGTTTAAATAAAAAAAGATTTTTTGCTTACTTACGAAGTTGCTCTGATCAATCGGCCACTTTTCATGTCAAATGTATTGTCATGTCTCCTGTGCCTCTCACAGACTTTCAAACCTTCCTTTTCTCATGTTTTGCACTAAAAATGTATCCTCTGCACGTTTTGCTGCGACCCTTTATTTCAGCTTCACTTTGTGTGAAAGTTATATATGTGTCCAGTTCTCCAGAGAAGAGAGAAGAGTGCACAGCAGCTCAGTCTCAGAGCTCCAACCACATCTGTTCATCAGGAATCTGAAGCAGTTTTTCTTCGCTAAGAAAAATTTCTATTACCAATCAATATGATCCTTGCTCTGATGCGTCTCCCCCACATCTCTGAAAGTCTGGCTACAGCAGCTCTGCTAAGGACACTTTGGTTTCAATGACAACACAAGTGAAACAAAGAAGAAAGTTGAAGAGATGATAAAGTAAAAAGCTGTTACGTTCCAAATCAAATTTTTTACATAAGCCAATGAGTTAAAACCTACAAAATATGTTAATTATAATGAAAACAATGTATCATATATAGGGCTGTCAAAATTATCGCGTTAACGCACGTTAATTAATTTTGTTCATTAATCGCGTTAAAAAAATTTACAATTTTAACGTATGTATCGAATGACCCGCCCATACATCCAATACTAACACTCAGCATGCCGCGGACACGTGCGTGTGTGAGATGGCGACAGAGCAGGTTGGCCCTCTGGGAATTCAAGTTAATAAAGAATACAGACAAAATTATATTCAAGCATAGTCTAAACTTAAACAATGCTGTTTAAATTTGATATTCTGCAAAATATCTTGGTGAGAACTCTTTCCAGATAAGAAAGAGTTACTAAATATATAATTTAACCTGGGATTCCTTTGCTTCCTTTTGGCCCCACTGGTCCTCGTTCACCTTTCACCCCTCCTACACCAGGCAGGCCCATGAGACCCTGGTCCCCTCTGGCTCCTGGATTCAAATAAATTAATATGGATACATATCCATCTAGATCAAATTAATTGATGTACCTTTTTTCCCTGAAATGCCATTAGGCCCTCTGTACCCTGGAGAACCTTGCTCTCCCTTGAACCCTTTAAACCCTCGGACTCCTGGAAAACCATTTGGTCCAGGTATTCCTTTTTCTCCAGGGGTCGCACTGGCACCAGGAAGACCCCTCACCCCAGGGAAACCTACACACACACAAACACATTTATAAAATTGTAATTAAATCATAAAAAGTGCGTCCACCCCAACATCCACTTACCTTCATATCCTTTCAATCCTTTGGAACCAGTCTCCCCCAATGAACCCTTTATATCAGCGGTGCCATCTGGTCCCTCTGGGCCCCTAAACCCTGGTGGTCCCGGTTGGCCTTGGTCACCTAAATACATCCAGAAGTAATAATTAGAAAACTAAGAAAAACACAGGTATATTTGATGGTAATAAACGCACCAATAAGTCCTGGGAATCCCTGTAAACCTTTAGTTCCTGGAAGACCTTTCTCCTTGTTCGGTTCACCACTGTCTCCTGTCAGGCCCTTCATGCCAGTTTCTCCATCTGGTCCAAATGTATCAAATCCTGCAGAAAAACAACAGCGTGTTTATATGCGACAACTTCAACAGTGACAATAACAAGAGATGCCTTCTTCTCAAAGGAGCAGCACGATTCTCTACTGAACACAGATACCTGGGGTTCCAGGAAGACCCTTTTGTCCTTTCAGCCCATGCAACCCGTACAGCCCCTTCAGACCAGGAAAACCTTTGAACAAACACAGTAAAAGCAGGTGACTACTGCAAATGCATAATGCTATCTCTCATGATAAACAAAAAGATAATTCTAAATGAATCAATGTCATACTGTGTTTCATAATGTGCAGGATAACTGAATGAATAATAAAGAGAATGTGGGTAATACCTTTGTTTCCTAGGTGACCAGGAAAGCCAGGAAGTCCATCTTTCCCTGGTAATCCGGGGGATCCTTTAAGCCCCTGTTTCCCAGGGCTTCCTTTTTGTCCATCTGAGCCTGAAGAAGTATTCATTGTTTAAAATTTGTTGCACCAAAATATGGCAATATACTTCAACTTCTATAACATACCTTGGTTTCCTGCATCACCCCCATCTCCTCTAAACCCACGTCTGCCTTCGATACCATCAAACCCAGGGGTTCCCCTGCTGCCTGTGACTCCAAACAACCCCTTTTCACCTGAAACAAAGATGAAAATCAATAATGATCACTACAACAGTAGCCTGGTCGTACCACACCATAGTACAAATTACATTTCTTACTAAGGTCTGGATTTGCTCCATTGAGCTCCGTGAACAGGTGGGAGGGGTTAACTCCTTTTACAGATTGAAAAGATTGGATCTGAGTTTACCGTGACGTATGTAATGCGCCCGAGTGTGTTGTTAGCATTTAGCATTTAGCCTACCCATATCCTTTGCCGCTAACGGAGCCCGTGTGGAGTAGCGCCACAATCTTGACCAGCCATTACATTTGCTAAACATTCCTCTTGCTCCTGCTTCAATTTCTTGATAGAACCAGACTGGATTACTTTACTATCGCATTCTTCGCCACTGCCAAACCACAACCTGCCTGTTCGGCGCAAACTCTTGACGTCACCGGCACCGACCTACAACACCCGCCTTCCGCGCTCTCTGAGTAGCCGGTCGAAATACGACCGATTGTATTTGCTAACACAGGGACCAGACCCCGACGGTTACATGCAGTGAAATGATGATTGAGCGGAGTGCATGGATAGCTATGGCCAGGCTACTACAACAGTACTTTGCTGTTGAAATTTACCTGGCTCTCCCGGCAAACCAAATTCTCCTCTTAGACCTGGAGACCCTGGGAGATCAATACGAGCTCCAGCATTTCCTATAACAAATATGTACATGAAATTTTTTGAATAAACATGCAATTGACATGCATTTTTTCATCAATTTGTTAAATGAATGAATGAACCTTTGATTCCCTTCCATCCAGAGTCTCCTGATGCACCATATGCTCCTGTACTTCCTTTAATGCCCTGTGTGTATATTTAGCAAAGCAATCATTCATACCTTTCACCTATGTTCTATAAGAGGAGTGGAGAGAGACAAAATCATTTGAATAGAAAAACGAACCTTGTCCCCAGGCATTCCTTCAAACCCAGTAATCCCTCTGTTTCCAGGGATACCTGGCATTCCTTTTATTCCTGGAAGTCCCTGAGCACCTGGGTTTCCTTGATGCCCTTTCTCATAGCTGGGCTCTCCAGGTAAACCAGGGTGCCCCTCCATTCCTGGGACGCCTGGGAATCCTTTTGCACCTGTAAAACGCCCCAATATTAATTCATAAAAAAACACAGTAAGCTGTATGATGCTGACACATTACCTCTGGACCCAGTAAAACCGTGAGTCCCCGCACTCCCACGATCTCCTTTGGTTCCTTTCATGTCAACAATTATAGTCTGTGGGATATGCGGCTTCTCTCCCGGTGGGCCGTCCAGCCCTCGAGCCCCTACAAATACAGATAAAATACAGAGAGTTAAGAAATGTACACCAAGTTACCATGTAACTTTGCCTATCACCTTTCTCTCCTCTGAAGCCTAGCAGTCCTTTTGGACCACTTTCTCCTGGAAACCCAGTCTCTCCTTTGACCCCAATCAAACCTTTTTCACCAAAATCACCCCTGCGGCCTTCAAACCCAGACATTCCCGGGGAACCTTTGTAGCCTGCAGAAGGGACACACAGTCAGCAAACACATTGTATCCGTGTGGTTCATTTTATGTGGCAAACCTTTAATTCCTGGAAGTCCTGGCTCTCCAGGCAAACCAGGAGAACCTGCATCTCCGGGCACACCCTCATTTCCAGCGAAGCCCACTTCACCAAAGTTCCCAGGGATTCCCTTCAGCCCTGTGGGCCCTGGGGGTCCTGGGTCACCCTCTGTTCCCCTTTCACCTGTGAAGCCTGTAACATTTTCACTTATTACTAAGAGAATCTCCACAATATGAATGTTTTGTGATCAATATTCACACCTGGCAGTCCAATGCTCCCCCGAAAACCAGCGGGACCCACACTCCCATTGTCACCAGGGTAACCATACTTCCCTGCAGGTCCAGGTCTGCCCTGCTCACCCTGTAGACCAGCAGGACCGCTCTCTCCCTTGATCCCAATCATGCCAGGCATACCAATCATGCCTGCAGCAAGGACACAACATAGTCATACACGTGTGGCACTCAGGAGAAGAGCATGTTTGAGTCTCACCTGTGTATCCAGGCCCGCCTTCGTCTCCTATCAGACCTTTCTCCCCTATCGGACCAGGGTTTCCAGGCTCACCAGGGGGACCAGGCATGGCTCCAATAATGTCTCCATGAGCGCCCTTTTCTCCCTGCGCTCCATATCGTCCAGGTTTCCCTGCCACCCCGCGGTTCCCCGTAATGCCTTTGGCCCCTGGATGCCCGTGCTCACCCCGTGGTCCAGGGAAACCTGTGAGAGATTCAACAGTCACCACACTGGAAACTGGGCAGCAGCAGATCTCTGTCATCAATTACCTGGAGGCCCTGGGAGACCACCTCGACCTTGGTCACCCTGCTCTCCCTTTTCTCCTAAAATTCCAAACAAACCGGGAGGGCCTTTTTCGCCTTGAGGTCCTGTAAGGAAAAACAATCCAAAAACAAGGCTTAACTTGTGTTTCACCTGTTTAAAATAATTATATCAGATAATTCTGCTTTAAACGAATGGAATAGAGATGACCAACCATGTAAACCAGGAAGTCCATGAGGTCCGGGCAATCCAGGTAATCCAGGGGGGCCGGGGTACGTTTCACAGAGACCTATGTGAGCATAGAATATTTAAGACTTCACACTGGTTTGTGTGGAGAGTAAGAGTGACACATTCAAGTGCATTTGCTTTCTTGATGCCCAGCGTGGTTGTGTTTTTTCCAAGATTTTAGCTTGTTCTGTATCTATTATAACACCTCATAAGTGAGCAATGCAATAGTAATCATGCGTAAAAGTAAAAATAGAAGCAAAGCCCTTAAGAGTTATCAAGAGAGATGAAAATTATTAGTGAATTATACCAGCTACCTGTTACATCGACCTGTTCTCCGTCTGTTGTCGGACTACAGCCGCCTTTCAGTTGCAAAGGAGATGTAAGAAAAGGCATTCGGAACAAGAATTATTCAAAAGCACAAGCATTATCTCAAACAAGCTGAGTTGCAGCTGGTTTGAGAGTGGCACCCCCTGCATCAAGTATATAACAGCAGCAAAGAAAGTTAAGATTGTATCAAATGTCAAAATATTCTTCATTTTCATGCAAGCTTCAGTCACACACCAGTAATGTCCATTCCTCTTTTTGCATAATGAAAAAATACAGAAGCTTATAATTAAGCATAGAGGATTTTGTCAGTGTAGCATTTTAGTGGAAGAGCAAAAAGATGTTTGGGTTTTGTGTACCTGGTGCACCAGGTGTTCCTGCCACTCCAGACCACCCTGGGAGACCATCGTCTCCAGGTAAGCCTCGTTGTCCTTTGACTCCACCAAGGACTTGTCCTGGCTCTCCACTCAGGCCTGGAGCACCAGGTTGCCCCCTCCGACCAGGAAATCCCTTTTCTCCATGTTCTCCTCTGACTGCCTCGCCCTGGAAAAAGAAAGTAATCTAATCGTCCATATGTACAGGTGAACCAGTTTACAAACAATCATACAAATCAGACAAACAATGCTTTGGATCTGGTTACTTATTAACAAAATGATTTGTATTTGCAAATTTCCTTTTTTCTATTTTCTACAAAGTCAAAGGTTGACGGACATAAAAATAAATGTCTTTTAACAGTGCAGGGAAGAACAATGGGCCTCATTCACGAATAACTTCGTAAGAAACTACTCAACTTTCTTCTCAAGTTGTCCTTAAGTAGATTTCTAAGAAGTCCCCACGTGGGATTCATCAACGCACTCGTAAGCCGCTGAATTGTTCGCAGCTGTTCTCTCAGATTGATGAATCCCATTTCCTCGTAAGTACAGCGCGCGTGCCAGGTGCTTCATTAGCATAGGTACTTAGCATAAGTAACCGCCCACTAATGCCCATATAAGGGGATGCAGGGCCGTGTGCAGACGGCTGAGGAAACAGCAACAGGCCTAAAGCAAAGAGTTACACGGAGCAAAAGAGTCACCCTTTTTTCTTCTTTTACCAGACTGAGAATAAAGTTATAAAATGTTGACTTAAAAGTCGAAATATTATGATAATAAAGTCGAACTAGCAAAATTATGAGATTAATCTAAGAATATGATGAGATGAATCTCAAAATGTTATGAGCTTAATTTAAAAATATATTATGTATTATTTTAAAGATGAATCTCAAAATGTTTTGAGATTAATCTCAAAATATTTTGGACCCTGGGAGGAGATCCAGCGCGGACCAGCGCTGAGACCAATGCAGACCCGAGGAGAGACTGGAGTGACCAGCACACAGAAACCAGCGCGGACCTATAGGAGAGACCGCATAGACTGTAGTGACCTGACTGGAGAGACCGGTGCGCAGAGACCAGCGCGGACCGAAGATAGACCGCATAGACCAGACTTGAGAGACCAGCGCGGACCCGTATGGATCCAGGAGCATGCAGCACGGACCCGTATGGAGAGAGACCAGTGCAGACCCGTATATGGGAGAGACCAGTGCAGACCCGTCTAGATCCATGGGAGAGACCAGTGCAGACCAGTATAGATCCATGGGAGAGACCAGTGCAGACCCGTATAGATCCATGGGAGGGACCAGTGCAGACCCGTATAGATCCATAGGAGAGACCAGCGCAGAGACTCAGCGCGGACCCAGTAACCTCCTGCAGCAGCAGTATATATGCCGTTGTTCTGTGGCCCGTGGATAAAGAAATGCCCCCTATAAATAGGAAGGGGTCACTAATACACGGCAAGATTTCCAATGTATTTGATAAAGCGTTGGCACATTTCATTTCAAAATGAATTAAAAAGTAGGCCAGATCTGCAGTGAAAAAGGCGGTATATAAATAAAGATTACTAATAAAGATTACTACAAATAAATAAATACATACATCGATATGACGGACATATCACTGGAATGTTGTATTTTTATTCAACTTCACCAAAGAGGACAACCCCGGCGTGTGAACATGTCGGCACTGAATGCGTACGAGTGCTCCTGAGGACTCGTAGGATTTGTACTTGCCCAAGAGAAATTCTGGTTACGAGAAATATTCGTGAATGCCACTTTCTTCGTAAAAACCGCGTAAGTAGGATTTACGTACAAATCTGTTCCTAAGAACCGTTCGTGAATGAGGCCCAATATTTATTGTCAACATTTAAGTCACAATCCGGCAAGAAATTAGACGAATTAAGTGAATGTTTTGGAGTGATCATTACAAACGTCTGGTATCAATTTAGACAATTATTGAACATTTGAGTGAATAAGAAAAAGCTTGCGAAGGATTACTATCACGAAATCGCCAGATTCTAACCACACTATTCTGAAAAGCTTACCCAAAACATACTGGCTGTTGTGACATTCAGGTAACTAATGATCTTGGTAATTGTTATTAGAAAGTTCTTTGTAAGTTATAATTTTAGAAATCGTATGTGGCTGAAATACATGCCCATTTGGTTGGTTGCATTTTAATTCACCTTTGGCTCCAGGAATCGTGGACCAGAGAGGTTGTGTATTTTAACTAATTTTAGAAATCGTTGATGCTTGGGCCTTTGATTGAAGTTTGGGGTCTTTGGTTTATATTTACATGTAAACTGGAGGGTCTTTGTTGCCATTGCTCCTTTGTTCTGTTGGTTCCTCCATTCCTATATGCATATGATGAAGGTGTATCCTTTTTCCTATGATCTGCTGCTCGGCCTGGGTCAGACTTGCTCTGGATGAGGCTGTGCTCTGTGCACTATCCTCTGAAAGTTATTTCTCCTTGGAAAGACAACCAAGTATAAAAGAATGTTTGAACTTATGTTTGTTTGACTGGGTTCAACTATAGTTTAGAATCAGCATTCACAGTAATCCACATTGGTAATGTGGTAATCCTTTAGAAAGTGATTATATAAACAATTATCCTACTTAATTTTCACAATCTTAGAATACTTGTGGTTTCAACTGTATCATTTGTGGATTGTATGAGATATGTAGAATATGAACTCACAGGAAGACCCCGACTCCCTGGAAAACCAGGAAGTCCATTTGGACCTGGAGCCCCTATGGCTCCTGACTCTCCTTCGATGCCTGGGTCTCCGAGATCACCAGTCGGTCCTGCGGACCACAGGAAAAATGTAGTCAATTTGGTGGAGTAACAGAAGACACATAATGTTTCCTATGTCCCCACCTTTCACTGTGGCCATGAACAGATCGCCCTTTCTGCCCTGAGGACCTGGCTCTCCGTCAACTCCCGGAAACCCCTGCATTCACACATCAGGCATTAGGATTAGGATTTGGAAAAGAGATAAGCAAATCCAGTCCTTGTCAATAACCAGCAAAAGAGTGAAACATGTCTTGATAATTATGTATTTTCTGCTCTATGACACCAAAAAATGGATTTAAAACACACAATGTAATTTTCTGGATTGTTTTCACATTCTGTCACTCACAGTTGAAGTGTACGTATGATGAAAATAAAGGAGCCCTCTCATTAGTATAAGTGGAACAACTCACACAATTGGTAGCTGAAAAATACTTTTTTGTCCCACTGTATCTGGACTAGTGAGCTGCCATATGGAGGTCAGAGGATCACAAGTAGATGTTCATTACTAATCATATATATATATTGCACTTTTTGGACATCAAATTTGCTCCACATTATTCATTCACTCCATACACAGTGGTGATAAACTACTGTAATCACAGCTGCCTTGGGGCATACAGACAGAAAAGAGGTAACCAGTATGTGCCATTGGCTTCTCCAACCACTGATAAAGATGTGTCTTTGATAAGATAAGAATTCCTTTATTCGTCCCACAGTGGTCTTCTCACTGTTTGGACAGATGAGATACTTTGTATCTATGGAGAGTACTCACAGGTAATCCATCAGTCCCCTTAAAGCCTGGGTCTCCAGCATCTCCCTCTCGGCCATACTCTCCTGTCATGCCCGGGTCACCCTGCTCTCCAGCCGGCCCTTGGGGACCAGTAGGAGAGTTTGCAGAGCTACACTGACATTCGCCATGGTCACCTAAAATTGTATTTAAATAACATAGAGAAATTAAATCCCAGTTTAAGTAATATGGTCGTCATAGAGAGCTAGTTTGAATTGACCTTTAGTTCCTTTGAGTCCAGCGTTTCCTGGCCGTCCTCTTCCTCCTGGAGCTCCTCTGAAGTGTTCACTCACTTGTCAACAACAGATTGAGTCAAGATCCCACAGTTGACAGCAGAATGACATAATATCGGCTCACTCACATGATCCCAGTGGTCCGGGCTGGCCTTTGTCTCCTGGTCTACCTCTCACTCCTTTAGGTCCTGGGCTTGCGGCTGGAACCCCTGGTTCTCCAAACGGGCCTGGGTCTCCGTGTTCCCCCCTCTCACCAAATTGACCAAAAAATTCAAACACTGAAACAAGGAAATATTTACTTGCAGCATGAGTAAAAGGTGAAGAATAACTTTGAACTGACTCTGTTGCTGCGAGTCAATGGCGGGCTGTCCTCGGGGTCCTGGTATGCCATAGTCTCCAGTCAGGCCTCTCTCTCCTTGTGGTCCTGTTTCACCACGAGGCCCAGGTGGACCAGCTTTTAAAGTTTAAGTAAAAATAGACATCAGGATAAATGCCTCCATAATCCACATTAAATCCATGTCATTATTTGAATCAATTTGCAATCATGATTTGAGAGGATACGTTTTCCAGAAGACAGATAAGTAGTAATTCTACCTGATGGAGACCAAGGCCACAAAGATCCGGACGAGATCAGCTCTCCAGCTTCTCCTCTATCTCCCTGAATAAAACAAACCCAATCTCAATTTACATGTGTGCAGCGCAGTCACAAAAGAGCCTGCTGTAGTCAGTCAATAAAAATAATGCATTAGTTTGATATTTTTCAGGACACTCAACAACGCTTCACATGTCATTATTCATTCACTCAATACACAATGGTGATAAACTACTGGCTTTTACTGTAGCCACAGCTGCCCTGAGGCACACTGTCAGAAGAGAAGCGGCCAGTATGTGCCATCAGCCGACCACCACCAACCATTCACAAACACACCTGACTAATTCTAGACAATGTGGGTGAAGTGTCTTGCCTAAGGACACAACGACAGTTTGGCACTTTGCAGCCGCCCCACTCTGGGACCTGGTGCTACCAGAGGTCTCCCATCCCAGTACTAACCAGGCCCCAGGACTAACCTGCCCTGCACAGCTTCAGGTCTGACGGGATCTGGCTTTTGCATGCAAGTATAGCCAGTGAAGGCTCTTTACATCCGTGATACACTGAGAACTTACTTTTGAACCAGCTCTGCCACTTGGACCTGGATCACCCGGCTCCCCCTAAAACAAAAAAGTAAATACATTTAAAGTAAGAAGAAAGTTTACTATTCCAAAAACTAATCTCCACATACTCTCAGTCCAGGGAAGCCATCGACGCCAGGTGGGCCCTGGACACATAACATAATCACATTTAGCTCCTCACAAATACAAGTACAGAAGAGTTATGTGTGTGTGGAACAAACCCGCGGGCCGGGGAACCCCATCACGCCAGTTTCCCCTCTGTTGTCGGCCTAAAAGACATTAAACAATGTCAGATATGTTGTGAGGCTTGTATTGTTTCATTTGTGCTATATTCAAATATTTGATATGCTGACTTGATCTCCTTCTTCTCCTTTAAAACCCTTTTCACCCTGTGGTCCCTGTAACAGATGATTACATGAAGTCACTAGTAAAGGACTATTATTATATTCTATATTATTGTAAATATAAGGAAAGTGTGTTGCACCGATGGGGCATCCTCAGGTTGCTTTTGCTGATGTGTAGAGTTTCCTGGATACCCAGGAGGTCCAGTCTCGCCCTGTGATATAAAAGAATTAGAAACAACATTGTAGATAAATGAAATGTAAACACTAATACATAGTGTTAAGAAAGTATATACTGTCATTTCAGAACAATGGGGCCTCTCTAGTTCTTGGAACCCAGTGGTTTATAAATCAAAATATATGTGCTGTGCTGTGTATGTATTTTTTTTTTTGTGATAGAGCAGAGTTTTACTTATTATTTTGACTTTCTCAAGTAAAAATATAAGCTGTTAAACACCTTGGCATTAAACCATGTCGAGACCAGTTAAAACTGTCATGAAAACCTGCAGCTTATATTCATGTGTTGCCTATATATGGTCCAGAGATATTGTTTTATCAAATATTGACAATGAAACTTACTGATTCTCCTTTGACTCCTTTGAAGACTTTGGTCATTGTTCCCTGTGATAACACACAACAGTAGTAGTATCCCATGTATTCTCACTCAGTAACATCATTGCTTCTATCACAGTATGGCTTGGACCAGCAAGTGTTTGCGGAATTACCTTTGATCCGCGGGGGCCCGGCGGACCAGGAGGGCCCTTTAAAAACAAAAGCAAAAAGAAGGAGTTGGATTGTGCTTAAAGAAGTCATATTTCACTTGTTACCTTTGGTCCATGTACACCTTTGCTTCCGGGCCAGCCAGGGTTTCCAACAGGTCCCTAAACCATGCATACTTTAGTTATATTTATCTTAGAACCATGGGTCACATTGTAGTGGTGCAACTTACAAAAATTCCATGGAGTCCTGGGGTACCTGGATCTCCCTAAGGATTTATGAAAAAGTAACAGCTCAGCCAACCAATGTTTTGCAAATCACATTGAAAATCAAACAATACATAGATACTGTGCTTAATTTAGCTTTGTTGCCATTCGTACCCTGAAACGTTGCATGAAGACACTCAGCTCAAGGGAGTCCCCCTTCTCTCCTTTTCGACCGGGAAAACCCTATCAGACAGAGAACAGAGAAATGTTTCAGTATCTTTGTAAATGAATGTATGACATAAATAAAACAGAACCGTCTTATACCCACAGGTGATCCAGGAGCCCCATTGTATCCGACATGTCCTGGTCGTCCTGTTTCTCCCTGAGTCCCATTACAGCCATCTGCCCCGGCCTTTCCTCTGGGTCCTGCTTGTCCAGGGTGACCCTAATTTGTCACATTACATCAAATCATCAAGTTATAGACATTAAATCCATTGTGTGTAGTTGGCTGAGATTTAAAGTAAGTCAATATTACATTACCTATTAGTCACACACCACTTTTTTATTTTACTCAAACTGAACTAATTGTTCTATGTCCATAAAGTTGGTATAAATTATTATGCATTATTACATTCTTAGTTATCCTAATCCATTTTTGTCTGGTGCTCTCTGCTTTCTTCAAAAACTCCCAAACATACTAAAGTGCTATCAGATACATAAAGTTGGACTACAGCGCCCCACTGTGGCCCTTTGTATTACCACACTACTCTGATTCCAGTTCCAAACTACTTTTTGAAAAAAAAGTTGCAGATTTGTCAGTTTAATGAGTAGTTCAATCAGGAGAGACTCAAGAGAAAAAGATAATGAAAAAATATATTGGTTGACCTATAGTATAGTATATAGTAATCCGTGAGAAGAAGAATTGTATCTATTGCATGCTGTGACGGGGCTTATTATGAAAACAAAAAAGAGATTATGTGAACCATCTAACGGCTATTGAAAAAAAAAAAACACTGTCTGATTTACTTACTGGTATTCCATCATTTCCAGAGAAACCAGGAACACCAGTCATTCCCTGTGAAGAAAGGAACATATTTTTGTTTTAAAAGATGTGTCTGCATAAGACATATTTGCAAACATCGATGGTCTACAGTTCCACAGTTGTTCTCAACCTTTTGGAGCCGTGACTCTGATGAAAACACTCAAGTTCTGGAGATTGGTAATATGAGTTTTCTGTGGCCACTTTTCAAATTCAATAAATGGCTAATTTTCTTTATTTTGTTGCTAATGTTAATGCACAATCAATATGGAGACACATTTTGAACTCTACTTATCCTGTGTTCTTTTGTGGAAAGTTTGTTTACAGCTTTTAGCATAGCACCTTTTAGGTTCTGAAGATTTATTGAACAAAGAGTTACTTGAATCCTGGTTTTGGTATTCTTTTTTGTTAGATTTTTCTGAACAAAATAAGTACGGTGAAGCTTGAATTTAAAGAGAACTGAGGCAAAGGTAAAGATTGCTAAGGACTATAAACAGATTTACAGAATTATTTGTATTGTTTCATTTTTACTAATTGCGTTCTGTCATTGTATAGGGTAAAAACATGGCTACTTTCCTGATCACTTTTAAAACAAGGTTGTGGTAGCATCAACCAGATGGGAATAAGTTAAGCCCAATGGCCATTATTTGAATACATTACAATATCGGCCCTCTACTGGTAACCCCAATTTAGTGTCTTATGACCCCAACTTTGGAAACCGCTGAAGTTGAGAACAACTGCAGAATAGAACCTAGAACCTTAATACATTCAAGTACTCACTCAAAGCATACAGAGAAAATACAACACAAACACCAGTTTTAAGATTCAGATGATTAGACAAGATACATAAGTATGGTTTTTAATATCAATATATCATAGGCAGTAAATGATATGAGAAATATACAGTATATGTATAATATTTTATTTGAAAGGAGATCGAACAGGTACTTTACCACACTGCCTTTTGGGCCCATGATCCCCCCTCGTCCTCGGTCTCCTTTTTGTCCTTTTTGGCCCTCAATACCTGGCTCTCCTTGACGGCCCTTAGGACCCTGTGGCCCCTGTGGCCCGAGTGGCCCAGGTGACCCCTGTGAATACAAACAAAGACAACAGGTGATTGACAGGTGTCCAGTTGTTGTTTTGTGCTTTACAATTGTTATTTTCTTTATTTTGGTCCAGACCGGAGCGGAGAGGATTTAGGGTCCGAACCAAGCGGATCAGGCAAAGATTCACAGGAGGAATGATGACTTTTACTTTGGACCAAAGCAGAGAAAATGGCCCGGACCAAGCAGCTACTCCACATCTGCTGCTGTGGCCTACAGTACTGTTGGTTATTGTTACAATTGTAAGCTTTTTAGAATGAATAATTTATTTGTTTTGTTTGTGCGGATGGATGTGTTTTTGCTGCTACTGGACATCTGAATTTCTCCTACGGGGATCAATAAAGTACCTATCTATCTATAAGAATCATCAGGGACTCTCCCTGTAAGTATGACCAAACATAAATAATATTACTAATGAGATGTTATATGTCGTACGCAAAGGATAGCAACCATGCGGAAATACAAATGTCTCCACAGTGGGACAAAATAAAGGTTATCTTATCTGTGATGTATCTGGAACAGAGAGTGCCACCTTCTATTGTTGTACTGGTTTAGACATGACCCAAAAATCAAAATAAGAACCTAAATCAAACCAAGCAGTACAATTTTTGAACAGCTCTCATCTATATTGTCAACTTAAGACACATTTGAATTTTGTTTTTAATTTTTTTAATAAATTATATATAATACTTATAAATTATATATATAAATATTACATAAACCCACTGAAAATGTTATTTTGGCAAAATTAAATATCTCAATGACATTCCATGATAACTTATATAAATAATGCAACTATATCAAATGTACAGCTATCTCACAGCTTTAATAATTACAGTTCTAACATGAGATATTATACCAAACATAAAGACAGTACATTGAAGTGTATCCCCTCTGGTCTCATTGATTCCCCTGATTCTCCTGACTCCTCTGTCTTACATGATGGAGATGTACCCTTAAATATATACGTGTAACATAGAATTTATCATCCAACAGGAGCGATATGTATAAATATATATTTTTATAGTGCTCTCTACATGTTCTGGTTAATTTTTTAAAAACATTTTAGTGCAAATTAGATAAAATATCACTTATGAGTCTAAAATCGCCCTCTCTACATTTTTGGTGGCACTACATTTGAATTTGTTGCCTGGCCTCTCCATTGGCTCTGGAGTGTAAAGTGACGTTGCTTTGTGCAGCTTGACGTCCGTCTCTGTGCATGTACATCCTCGCTCCATACATGTGTGGCAACCAATCAGAGAGCAGCAAAATGGTCACAGGGACATATGCCGGTCCGAACCAGGAAAAGAAGTCCAACCAAAACAGGAGCTAAACCAGGATTAAACCAGGACTGAGGATGGGGGACACGGCGCTTGTGAACAGATGTCTTCACCTTGAGTTGACGTTCCACTGTGGCTCAGCGACCACTGTGTTTGACGGACCATTTAGTGAACGTGCGTCCATGCCTCCATCTACACACGTCCATGCATTGCCGTATATAATGGCTGGGCATGTGTGTTTAGTTTTCCTTGAAGGTAGTATGTGCTTCAATCACATAAACAAAGCTCCAGAGCTTGTTGCGCTGTAATTATGCATGTGTAAATGGTGTGTAACAATAAATATGCAATAAAACAGTTTGTGGAATATCACTTTGATGAACTAACAGTACTGCACAGTTTCAAAACGGACAAACAGAAACAAACAGGAGTGCAGAAACAGAAGCGACCTGCAGACTTGACGCACGGACCTCCTTGCTAGAGTCAGGGATTTCATAATTAATTAATTCTTGCTTCTTTATTATGCAAAAGTCAGAAATGTTTTGCTCCTCATTACCACTGTTCTGAAACTGGTGGGATGAATAAAGGATCTATTAATCTTAGTAATACATATTGTATTTGTGTGAGAATCTCCATAGAAAGTGAAAGCAGTGATTTGATTTTGAACATCATGTGACTAAGAAACAGGAGAATAACTTCCATGATTCCTGGACTGAGCGGTAATAAAAACCTAGATTTGTATCGTCGAAACCAGGTGCTCTTCATGGTTTTGTGAAGGGAAATGTGGACATCTTTGAAGGCGCTTATGATTGTAGCAGATTATGGACCTCTGGAGGCCGCAGCTCTGCCCTTTGGCTTTCTCTGTAACTGTACCTGTCTGTGTTTCCCCTTCAACTCACAGCTGGTCCGCGTCATGCTTAAACGCTGCGTCTCGTGAGCTCCATAATGGGCTGTGGATGGCCATCAATCCTGCACTTACAGAGAGCAGGACATGGGACAGGAACGTGGGGCAGAGTGGGTGAACTGTGCATGCCCCCGGGTGGAACTTTTAGATTACTCTGAACTAAAAGGAAAAATACTTCAATACTTAAATACACGATTGTGTCCCACTTGTTGTTGATTCGTGACAATTTTTTTTTAATTTTATATCTTTATGTTTGAAGCCTGAAATGTGGCGAAATGTTGAAAGGTTCAAGGGGGCCGAAACATTTCACCACATTTCAGGCTTCAAACATAAAGATATAAAAAATGTATTTTTTGTCATGAATCAACAACAAGTGGGACACAATCGTGAAGTGGAACGAAATTTATTGGATAATTTAAACTTTTTTAACAAATAAAAAACTGAAAAGTGGGGCGTGCAATATTATTCGGCCCCTTTACTTTCAGTGCAGCAAACTCACTCCAGAAGTTCAGTGAGGATCTTTGAATGATCCAATGTTGTCCTAAATGACTGATGATGATAAATAGAATGCACCTGTGTGTAATCAAGTCTCCGTATAAATGCACCTGCTCTTTGATAGTCTCAGGGTTCTGTTTAAAGCGCAGAGACAACCATGAAGACAAAGGAACACACCAGGCAGGTCCGAGATACTGTTGTGGAGAAGTTTAAAGCCGGATTTGGATACAAAAAGATTTCCCAAGCTTTAAACATCTCAAGGAGCATTGTGCAAGCAGTTATATTGAAATGGAAGGAGTATCAGACCACTGCAAATCTACCAAGACCCGGCCGTCCCTCCAAACTTTCATCTCAAACAAGGAGAAGACTGATCAGAGATGCAGCCAAGAGGCCCATGATCGCTCTGGATGAACTGCAGATAACTACAGCTGAGGTGGGAGAGTCTGTCCATAGGACAACAATCAGTCGTGCACTGCACAAATCTGGCCTTTATGGAAGAGTGGCCATTTGTCAAAGATATCCAATAAAAGTCTCTTAAAGTTTGCCACAAGCCACCTGGGAGACACACCAAACATGTGGAAGAAGGTGCTCTGGTCAGATGAAACCAAAATCAAACTTTTTGGCCACAATGCAAAACGATATGTTTGGCGTAAAAGCAACACAGCTCATCACCCTGAACACACCATCCCCACCTCAGCTGTGGGTTGGACACAAAACTAGCGGTAATCTTTCAGTTATTGTACTGTATATTTTGTTAGCAGTGCGTTGTGGAGCTGGGACAACGCACCGACGTAATCGATTACGTCGACGCAAAAAATACGTTGATACAATATATGCACGTTGATGCGTCATACTCATAACAAAGATGGCAGCGAGCAGCAGCAGTAGTAGCAGCAGTAGTAGTAGTAGTAGTGAGTGTCGTCTTATTCAACCCGCCACTGGAACGCAATTTTCATGCACAGCAGACGCACATTCTCTAAGTTACAGAGGCCAGGGGTGTTCAGACCAGGAGTCCTGGGCTCACAGAGTTAAACTAGCAAAGTTAGGCTAGCGACTTTTTGTGTAAAGTTCTTCTCCAAAAGGCAGCTCTGCAGCGTCTCTGTGTTCAGAGACCTTCCAGAGACTTTATATAACAGCAGTATGTGTTCACGGAGGTGCGGCATCAGTTTATTTTATTTTTAGACGGTACTTTTGTATCGGCGAACATGCTAGCGGCGCTAGTTTAGTCACTGGAGATAGACAACTCGGGCTGTGGAAATGTTCACAAGAACACACAGATAGTATTCTTAAGAGGAAAGGAAAGTGTCCTAGTCTAAGTTGTTATTTGTGAATGAAGATGATTTTTTCAGTCAGCTAGGCCTATGTTCAACATAATTGTTGAATTCTAAATGTTTATTTTCATTATTTTTTGCTAGAAAAGCACTCTCTCTTTAGCTTAAAGCCCTCAAGATTACATTGGTTTTTTTATTTTTTATTTATTGAATGCTGAACATCAAGTATTTTCATCTGAAAGAAGAATAACAAGATGCATTTTTTTCAGCAAGCTTGATGTCTTTTCAAGGTTTTATCCTACATCTGACTCAGAATGTCTTATTTTTGAATTTTAAGAGCAATATATTTTGTTTAGGAATTCATGTTTTTTTCATTCAGATATGTAAATCAACATGTATACATTGATATTAGTCAATTCATGGGGAGATAATCGATAATCGAATCAAATCGAGATCGAATCGAACTGAAAATACTAATCGTTAGATTAATCAATGCATCGAAAAAATAATTGTTAGATTAATTGTTTAAAAAATAATCGTTTATCCCAGCCCTAGTGCGTTGCTTCGGTATCATTTCATGTCCGTGTCACTTCTGAGTGTTATTATGATATGCATGAGCGGGTCATTCGGCACATGCGTTAATTCTTTTAACGCAATTAATGATAGAAATTAATTAACGTTTGTTAACGCGATAATAATATTACCTCAGACAGAATCTTACCATCAATCCACCCATCTTCTTCCCCTTAATCCATTTCTGATTCCAGATCATCCATGATCTTTCAGCAGGGGCTTAAGTGTTAGTTGGAGTAGGTCTGATGGTGGGCTCGAACCAGTGGGGGCGGGTCCCAGCTCAAAAGTGGCCAAAATGACGTGCACTGACATGCTTGCAATAGGGCTGGAAAACGGAAGTGCGAGATGTTGCGAGATTTCCACCCGCGGATACAAACAAACCACACGTGCCAGTTGTATGGTGCTGAAATGGCCGACTTCTTCCTCCTTAAAGGACTTTCCTGTGTTATTTTGGACACATTTCGT